TCATCATTCCTAAAATAATAAGTTATTAAAGAAAAACCAGTAGAACTCTATCACATTGTTTTGAATTGAGCTCTTTTATCAAACAAGATACTGAAAAAGAAAGAAAGTAGTTGAACAAGGTCCTAGTAAATTATTCCAACAATTACATATATGAATGAATATGTTAACGTATGTTTTATGCTTAAATATTATTATTAAATTAACAATGAAATTACCATTATAAAATTCATCATTAATTAAATTATAACAATAAATTAAATCCTTTTCCAAAATAAAAATTAATAGGAATTTGGAGGTATGCAATAAAAAAAATAACGACAATGTCATTACCTATTTTTAAAAATTATATTATTTTTCTCTGTAAACACAAATCGTAAGACAGATATACTAAAAAATAAATAACAGGTATGCAATAAAAAAAATAATAAGCATGCAATAATCGTGAAACAGGTACACTAAAATACAGATCCTTAATGTACCTTCTTTTCCATAAAAAAAAAATTTATTAGACAGGTACATTAAAACACAGATCATCAAACGTCATCATAATATCTAATAACTGTTTGACATTACTGCTGAAATCACATAATTTCAAAAAAAAAAGGATCATATTTTAGGCTAAAATCATGTAAACATGTAAGTGATATCAAAGTTATGTGACCATGGTTTTTTGATTTGCTTGGTAATGGCTTCAGAGTCGATGACATATTCGACTTCGCATCATCAAGTACTATGATTAATATGGGTCTGGGCGTGTGCTGCAATAACGGCTGATTTTATAGGTAAAAGTTTGTATCGAAGATATTTATAAATTGTTTCAATTGGATTATTAAAATGGTATTTTCGCTTAGAATTTTGCTACGCAGTGATAGTGATAGTTTTTAGTGTCACCCTTTATAAGGAAGTGTTGTATATTTTAAGTTAGAATAATGTTAGAAGAGTTTAAAAATTAAATTTGATAATTTTAATAATTAAATAGATAATGAGTTCTAATAAATACTGAAACTCACAGTAAAATCAATAGTTGAGATTATCAAGTCTAACTTTTAAATTTATATAACATTGTTTTTTAGGCTAAAAAACATAAAATCATGTGATATGGGCGAAATGGATAATAAAAATTAATAACTTATCAATCCGTTAACATTCCAGTCAACACAAGGACCACATTCAATTTTTTTTAAAAATTAGAGGACCTTTATTTATATTAAAAATTTAATAAAATTAAAATTAATTTATACACCATAAAAGAGACTCTAACCTAATTAACTAAATAATAAATTTGGCGAAGAAAACGAATCAAAATAGCACCATCACTATGAAAACATGTCAAGGCCCAACATCCAACCGCTCGATCTGACCTAGGTAGGCCGAACACAATGATGATCTGAGCGTGACATTAATTTCTGAAATTTAAGGGAGCGAAAATTTTTCGCAACCCTCAAGTGGACCGTAGTGTAATTTTCACATTCCTCTGGCGCACAAAACCCTAATCCCGATCCTAACCCACCAATGCGGCCAATGTAATCTCTCTCTCCCGCTCCGCTTCCCCTTTCCCAAGGTAAGCCTCTTTGCCGCCCTACTTGAATCTCTAGATTCCTTTACAGATTTCAGGGCTTAAAATCTCTGATGTTGTAATCGTAAGAACTGAAGTGTTTTGTTTGTTTGTTTGTTTGTTTAAGTTGCAGTTTTAAAGGAATGGCGAAATCGAAGAATCAGTCAGCTCATAACCAGTCTTACAAGGCCCATAAATGGGATCAAGAAGCCTAGGAAGCACAGGATCACCTCCACGAATGGGGTATGCATTTCATATATTATATTCGTGCATATATGTATTTTTCTATTTATTTGTTCGATCAATGAATATTTAGCATATTTCTTTATTGATTTTGTTTCAAAAGAATTTTCTTCCATGGGTTTCATGCTTCTGCAATACTTTTACCCCCTTTTTCAGCTTATAAATTTTGCCATTTTAATGGTCTTTTTGACGCAGATGGATCACAAGTTTTTGAGGAATCAGAGGTATGCGAGGAAGCATAACAACAAGGACGGTGGATCTGCCTTTGAAGAGGAGCAATTTATGTAGGTTTGTTGTTATATAAACTCGTTTTGTTTTGGATTACCTTTTTTGGAAATGTATTCTGAATGAAATAGTTTTTGGCAACTAAATCATCATTATAGCAACTCCTTGATGTGTTGATTATTTCCTCTAGTTAGTCTTGCTTTGTTTGTTTCTTTTTTCTGTTTTTTGATAAGATCCTCTAGTTACTGCTGCTGCTGCATAGATGAAACCATGTTTTGTTGGAATATTGTGCATAATTTATGCTTTTGAGGTTTTATAGGTTCACAAAACTCACTAATGGTTTGGGGGTCATAAAACATAGATTAAGTCTCTGATATGAAATAAGCTCTTTTTGCACTAAATATCTGTGGTATGCCTTTGTTAGCGATGCTTCAGTGCTAGTAGTTTTCATGAGGGGGCCATTGTTGGTTTCAAAGGATGCTTTGATACTAGGTGGGTAGTTTACCTATTATGTTTGCTAATAAACTACAGAAAGCATCGCCACTTAGCATTGAATGGGGAAGCAAAAGAAAATTAACTGCCAGAGAAATCATTTTCCCTCGTTTGGTAACCATTTAAAAAAAAAGGTGAGAATAATATATAAAAGAAAACTGGTAGAAAGATTATTGTTTTTCTTAATCTCAAACAATGTTTGAGAGACTTTTGCCCATAGTTTGGCTTATGGATTTACCATGACAGGAAAAGTAAATGTAAAGCAAATATTTTCTCTCCTTTTATTTTCACTTAGTATTTTTCTGTTTTTTAAGTGCTCCAGAAAATAAAGAGCTAAAATAAGTAAGTATTAGGGGGTGAGAATTTTTAATTTTTATTGTTTCATCTTGTTTCCTTTTAAATATTTCTTTCCCTAGTCCCTTAACCACGCTGAGGTATAAGGAGGAGAAATTGTGTGTGGGAAATTATTTTTTAAGAAAGAAAATTTTTATTGATTGAATTCCAAAGAATTACAAGAAGTAAAGGGAATAGAAATTCCTATTCTTTTACAAGGCTTTAATCCTTCAAAATTAAAAAACAAAGGGAAATTTTCCTTAATTCCTTCCACCCAAATACTCCATTCCCATTGCTCCTTACACATATTCAGTCAACATCCTCACATTATACAGCATTCAGAGCTCATTCCAGTACCAAGCATTCAGCCTTTATCATCAAAAACCATCATTTTCTTCACCCTAGCAACTGGACTCCCTCTCTGATCCTGTAGAAGGACCATCTTGACCATATTAGGCAGAGAAATAACAGGAAAATCAGGTGAACAGCCATCCTGCACTGCCTTATTAGCCAGTCTGTCTGCTACAGAGTTTGCTTCTCTAAAAACTTGTCTCAGCTGAAACTCCATTCTTCCAATCTTTTCTCTAATCTGAGACAAAAAACTCCAGCAGGACCATGCACAACCAAAAATCCCCAGAACAGACTGCACCAATACCAGTGAGTCAGATTCTATAAGGATATTGTATTCAAACAATCCATACCTTTCAACTAACTCCAAACCATTCAGAAGAGCTCTAAACTCAGCCTCCATGTTAGTACATTCACCGTAAAAGAAGGAAGCAGCCAATATCAAACCTCCCCATTCATTCCTTAACACAGCTCCACCCCCTGCAGGTGTGGGGGAAATTATTTTGCCCTCTTTTATCTTTCCTTTATATTTTCCTCACTAAAACAATGAAGTAAACATAATGTTAAGCTGTTTGTTTTATTATCATGACTTCTTATGGAGTGACAATCTTTTTGCAAAATCACTCTCTTTCCTGATTTCTTAGTTGTAGCTGCACATTCAACTTATGGTGCTATTAATTATTATTATGTTACTGTTATAATTATAATCGTTATTATTATTATGGTTTTTCTCTAGTAGATCCAATGCTTTGCAAGTATGCATTGATATAATTCTTCAGCAATCAATCTCAGGGGATGGAGAAACTGCAAATGGAGCCATATACACTGTTAATGATTTATGAAATAAGTTCTTGCTCGTTTCTAGTTTCCTTGCTTTTGAACCAAAGGGGTCTCCTAGAATTATTATGGTGGGTGATAACTTGAATGGACAGAATGGTCGATGCGAGTGTCCTGGGTTTCACATGACGTTGTTTGCCCTAGTGACGATGTTGAATGCATTGTCATGTTCAATTGGAAGGTATGATTTTGTATGTATTAACCCCAAGCAAGGAGGAGAAATTGCGACCAGACTTGGGTTTACATGTTGTAAAAAAAGGCCCTGGGTTTGGGGGGCTTGACCAGTATCTTTTGTTTTCGATGAAAAAAGTAGAATTTGCTTGCAGTTTCGTCTTCTGATCTATCAATTAGAACATGAGTGTTAAGCTTGAGTAACGTTCTTGTTTCATCAATGGTATACATCCACTAAAAAAACCTAAATGCTTTACATATTTTCGTAGATCAATGTGGTTTTCTAGTACATCAACAAGATAGCTTGCTTCCGCACTGACAAGGCGGAAGCTGCGAGCCCGATGGACAGACCCTCACATGAATATACACCTGAATTGCAAAAGTCACCTTTCATGTTCAGGATCTATACATGTTTAGGACGCTTCACAACCACCAGTGGGCACTTAACGTGCTTGGCGCAGTGATCACTCACACTACCCAGAAGAGCCCTGCATATTTAGTAATTCCCAATTTAAAAACTGTTTTCCTGTAATTAATTAGTAAAAGAATAAAATGAAGAAATAAATGGCTGCATAATCAATTATATCAAATAAGTGAACCCGATGTACCTCTTGAAAAAACCATAATCATGGCTTCCCATGACCAAGATGTCTGCTCCAAGCCTTTCTACAGCAGTGCATATCACATCCTTTGCATTTCCTGTCCCAACTTTTTTCTCCACTTTGATCTGAAAGGGTCACAAGCTTCAAAAATTCAGACAGAGAGAGAGAGAGAGGAGGAGGAGGAGGAGGAGGAACTAGGCAGAGGGGCATACGTTTGGGTTAAAGTTCCTGTAGACTGTTTCAGCCTTGTTCATTACTGAATTTGCCAATTTCTTCCCATATTTCTGCAGGGTTGCAAAGGCATCACTGTCAAACAAGTACCCTGCACATCAACCATATCATGAGCTTTCATTAAAATGAAAGGGAAAAAAAAAACTAAAGATTGCAAAGGATATGAGCATGAAAAAGGAGATGACCGACCTGTGGTGTCGATAGACGAAAAGACCGGAGGAGGAGGCTTGACATAGAGGAGCACGAGGGTGGTGTTGCAGATGCTTTGGGACAAGAGGTTGTTGAGACACCAAGATAGTGCGTACATGCTCTCTTCACTTTCGTCCACTGCCACTACTATCCTTCTCTCATCCATCCTCTCTTCATCCATGACCGAACTATTTATCAAAGATTGAAATACTGAATTTGTAAGGAACTTTTGAGCCTTAGAATTCAAGAGTTGTTGATGACAAATCAAAAGGACTTGGGGGTGCTCTTTATAGTTGAAGTCATGGTGGATTGGATTCTCTGGTAGTAAGCAGTATCTGGTAATTTTGACTTTTCAACCAGCCACCTCATAATGGGCCACCCCCTAGCAGACATTTTATCTGGGCTGGCCTCAGGAACACCCTTGAAAATCTAGGTTATTAACTTGAAGAAATCTCCCTTTTCCATACATCTATCTTAAAATATCTCGATGATAAAGGTCCCACAGTTCCCAGAGGTTGAACTTTAATATTGACAGAAGTTGTTGCATTATTGTTGATACATGTCTCTGATTATATTCTATCTTCATCTTCTCTGATTCCCCTATAAGGCTAATCAGATTAGTCATTGTTTATTCTTAGAGATTCTCTTAATTCAATGATACATTTTTTTTCTCTGCTATAAATATGTTATTCTAAATTTTAAAATAGAGTGCGTTGATTATTGTAAAGGTGACGTAAAAAGTAAAACTAAAATATCTAATTTGATTCCTTCTCTTCGCTTTAGTATCTCTTGCTTGAGTATGGATTTCTTCTTTCTCATTTCCACTGGGGAGAGAAGTCTTTGTCAATCGTGAAACTTTACAGTGGGATTGAATTAAAAACATTCCTTCTCAAGGACCCCACTGATTCCTTCATTATTAGTACCTCAGAGGGCTAACACACGCAAAGTGTCTTATTTGGAGTTCAAATCAATAGCTGTTCCGTGCTCAACTTAAAGCCAAGTGGGTCTCTTTTTTCAATCCTCCTAAACCTAATCCCCAATGAATGGTTTTGGTTTTTTCGGACTAAAACTGTTTTATACTTGAAAAGCCCCTCTGGATAGGATAAGGATCATGTATCAATGTACTGTATTTTACTAGAACTTACTCGAAACAAGTGAGAAAAAGACACAATGAAACAAGTCTAAAGTACAACACTTGTAAACACCAAGGCCGTTCTCAAATTTGCCGTGAACAGGGAAGTCATAATTTTCCTTAATTCTGCACCAACTCTCACTCCAACTAATCTCCCATTTCTACAATTGGGATTCCTTTAGATTTCTATCTTTCGTGTGATTTAAACCTAGGGTACGAGTTTTTCGTCTATAGTGAAATCTTTGAGATCCAAGTAATCTACATGTTTACCTTTATGGTGGAGAATTGAATACCTCGACTCGGACTCGGACCCCGCACTTTAACTAATGAATTGCTTCAAATTTAATCTCTGGTTTTCATTTTTTTACGTGCATCAGAAGCAATATTAAGAATATTTAGTTACTCGAAAGTGAAGACAAAGATGAGCTCTCCAAAAATGGATGCCTATTTGTCCTTGATATCTTCTTTGTCTAATAACAATCCATACTATTCGTCATGCATATAGTTACCCATTATTTCCTAATTTGAGAATCTAATACACTGACAATTAGCATAATTGGTTGTGATTTGCTATTAATCTTATGACACCAATACATTATCACCCTAAATTAGTCCCCAAGTGAAGCACATTATGTATTAATTTTCTTTGTTATTTCTATCTTGTATTACTCTGTAGAACATAACTGAGAATGGCCTGGGAATATCGAGTTAGGTAGTAGTTAATAGAAGGGATCCAAATTCCATATCGGCCATCTCTAGGTAGGGGTGTCAATCGTGTCGGATTAAATGAGTGACGAGTGAAAAACATATAAACTCATACACATGTTTAATAAATGGGTAAAAAATTTTAACACGAACATGAACCGTTTAATAAACGGGTAACACGACACGACTCGTTTAACCCATTTAAAAATAAAAAAAAAATTATTATTTTAACAAATTTTTACACTATTTTTTTTTTTTGCTTCCAAGTGTACTTTCCTCAATTTAAAGAGTTTCTTCTAAAGGCAACAACCAACAACCATAGCCAACAGTCATAAGCCACAACCGATCAGATGAAAGCAAGAGGCCCTCTACCCCTTTTATAGACAACCAAAGCTCCTCTCCACTCTATCTGGCGACGTGAGATTCAAAGAAAAGGCAATTCAATGCCTCAATTTGATTTCTTTACCTTTTTTTTTTTAAATGATTTTTTTTACTCATTTATAATTTTATATGTATATAAAATAATTATTAATTTATTATTATATTAAATTTATTTAAACAGGTAAACATGTGATAAACTGGTTGACATGTCTCACCTAAACACGACTCATTTATTAAACATGTTTAACAGATTAACCAGTTTATCACTCAAATCCGTCAAGGTCTCACCCAAATTCGTTTAATTCGTATCGATTAATCGTGTTGTGTTGAATTTTGAGAGACATGTAATTCTCTCCCTTGAAATCAAGTGGTTGCCCAATTAATAGGCCAACTAGGGGGTCCAGCATAAGTTCTGGGCTGGGCCTACACGAAATGTACACCCCGTTCCCTCCCCTAACCTAGGCTAAAGACATTCTGGTCATTACATAACGTCTCCACACTCAGGGCCTAAGGTGGGCCACAACTTTGAACTTGAGAAACATTCTGATCCGATGATAATGCAGCAGGAGAGTGCCTCTTTTTCTCATGAAATTGTCGGAGCAATCATTTCAGCAAAATGATCTTTCGACAATGGGCTCTGCCCAACACTGGGACTGACTTTGAGCAGTATTTCTCCGTTAACTAATTTTTCCAGCTGCTTTATGGACTGGACTGCCACTGCATTCCGTTGCCACGTGGACATTCACGATCTGCCTGCGCAAGTCTGTGCCGACCATTTTGCTTAAACTTTCCACAATCCAAATGTAATCTCTCATCACTTGTCATTTGGGTGACTTAGATGCGAGAGAGAGAGAGCTCCTACAGGCTACAGCTGAGATTGGGGGGCCTCTAACAGTTGACATTTGTATGGCATAAACCAAAAGTCAAGCACCAATAATTTTTATTTGAATTTAATTTATTGAGATAATGGTCCACTATTTTTTAGATGGATAGCGGGTTTTATTATTGGTTGAAATTTATAATCAATTCAATAGTTACGATATACTAAATCTTTTGACTTCTAAAATTGAAGTAGAGATTTTTATATACCATTCCTATAGATATTGATAAAAAAAAATTATATTATCTTTATCTTTCTGTTATTTTTTATTATCAATTCACCAAATAAGATATGATTAATATTTATGAATCTATATTATTTGTCTCTAATTAAAAAAATTTATTAGGGTATATGTGCTTTTATTTGAAATCAATACTAGATAGTCTAATCATCTTCTAGTATCAGTTTAGAAGGATAATTTCAAAGAAAAAGAAATGTGATATAATTAAAGAGAGATTAAACACATAAGTTAGTGTTCCTAATTATCGCTAGGAGCATCTTTTTTATTTAAATATGACTCAAATTTAAAATATAAATAAAAACAAGTTTCAGTCCTTTATTTAAACAAATATTAAATAAAAAGATACTCAATTTTTTACTCAAATCAATAGAAACTTAAATCTATAATGGTCAGATTTTACATTTCTAAATGTCCAATGATCATATTTTATCTTACTTTAAATTTGAATTTGTCCTCATTGAAATTTTATTTATCCATTAAATTATTTTTTATTAAATCAATTTTTTTACTAAATATTGATTCAAATTTCATTAAAATTTTGACCCAATTTTGAAGATGACCTAAGAGTCAAAAGCGAAAAATAAATTAAATAGAGCAAGAATTTAGTTTGAGAATTTATTTTTTTGTAAGGGAGAACATCATTTTGCACCTTTAATGATAATCTATGTAATAAAGTATAATACAATTCAAATTCAAAAGATAAACAAAATAACTTTTGTTTTTCGTAGTTGAGATTTTTTAAAATTAATTCAACGACTAATATTAACACTCAAAACTTAATAAAGAAAATAGACTATTAAATGTGTGTTTTGAGTGACTTTTTAAAAGTATTTATAAGATTTATAACTTCTCATGAGTATTTAAAACAAAAATAGTGTTTAAAACTGTCTCAATACTGCCACCCTACCATGGCCACCGCCACTGCCACCATTAGTCTCACCCCCACCACCATCACTACTACAACCATCACCGTCGTCGCCACACCATCACCACCAACACTGCTGCCACCACCATACAACTATCGTCATTGTCCTACCATCATCCCTACCATCACCATCTCCACTGCCCCCCACAACCACCACCACCGCCATTATCATTGTCGCCACCCCACCACCACCACAACCACTATCCCACCCCCACCATCACCATCGCCACCTACCATCAATTACTACCACCATAATCCACTACCATCATTTATCACCATTGTCATCTCATTTTATATTTGTCACCACCCATTATACTGTCGCCTACAAGCACCTGTCATCGCTCACTATCACTATCGTCGTCTCACCACTACCACTACTGACCACCATCACCGTCGCTTACCACCACCCACATCCACCACCACCACCGCCATCACCTATAGTTATCACTACCACCGTCGTCACCCAAAATCCACAACTACCATCATCGTTTGCCACTCATGGCTGCCATCATCACCACGATCATCGCCACCCATCACGACCATCAGCATCTCCCACCACTACCACTGCCACTCATAACCACTATCACCGCTCACTCTCACTACAACCGATATTTAAAATTCTTTCTCTCTTCTCTATGTATGTGATTTGATTTTGGGTGTGAATATAAATAAGTTTATTATTAATCATTTTTTTTATTACTTTGTGCCTTTAGGCACGAAAAATAACTAATTTTTTTATATTGTACTTTTAATGTATTAAAAATATAATATAATGATTATGTCATTGTTTATTCTGTCAAAATCTACTCTATTGACATTGACGAAATGAATAACAAAAAGTAATAAAAGGATTATATTGTAATTTTTTTAATATATTAAGTGTGTAATGTGAAAATTTTAAACTTTAAGGTTAAAAATAAAATTTTGAAATCTTTTAAAATGTAAAGTACAATTTATCATTGTTGTAATGATTAGATTAATTGTGAATTTTAATATTAATTCAAATTATTTTTAATGTAATATTTATAAATAATTAAACTTCCAAATTAAATACTTGTACTATTTTGCAAATAAAAAATAACGATAAAATACGTAGAGGATAGGAAATGAGAGACGTCATCGAGGTTCCAACACAGGCCCACACAATCTGAGAACCCCCGTGCCACTTGGATCTTCGGTGACACCGCGTTTCTCTTTGGCATGATTATGAAAGTGGGCCCATTCCTTTCAAATTTCGGGTAAGGATAATCACCAGAGAGAGAGAGAGAGAGAGGGAGAGAGATTTTTTTTGAATTCAAGATTTAAATTCAAGACCAACAGACAAAAAAGTAGCCAAAACAACCGTTTGTTAGTGGCGGATCATTCGAAATACAAAACTTTCTGAAATTCTTTTTCCGCTGAAATACTTAAGAGAAATGTTATGTAGATTTAAAAAATAGATTGGAAAAATATAATTATTGAATATATAATTAGTCTCAATATATATTAAGATTTACAATAAAATCAAAAGATTGTAATTATTAAGACTATTTGTTAAATATATGTAGCATTGCTCTTTATTTAACTAGGATGACTAGAGAAAAGCAAAAAAAAAAAAGAAAAGAGATTTGGCAAAAGGTAACAATCATAAACTATTAAGACGAAAGACTCATAAAATACGTAGTTGACAAAATTATTATTAATAACAAAGATTATTTAAAAATTTTCACCATATTATCCCACCAGCGCCACCAACAATGAATTTAAAACAGTGAATTTCATGACCGTGGACTAAAAAATTTAATATTTTTTGTTATATATTATAAATAGAAGAAGAGTTAATTTTTTTTAATTCAATGTCTTTTAGGTAACTGTCGTTAAGTTTAGTGTGGTGTAGTTTAATGTCTTTAGTTCACATTGGGTGGTGATGAGTAGTGGATTTCTATGGAAGAAGAGTTGTATTTATCTATTAGAAAGATAATGGCTCTTGTTCGATTTTGATTGGACAAACTGTAAGACACCTTGGGTAATATTATCATATAAAAAAATAATTTGGATTACATGACAAAAAAATTTAATACGTCTTAAAAAGTACATACCTGAACTTATTAGGTACCAAATTCATAGTTTTTAACAATTCTCACAAAAAAAAATAAAGGGGATTGTTGATCTAACCATGGGACTATGTCAATTCCATTTGACCTAAAAACGTTTCGGTGATCAGAATCTAAGATTCAGTGGATAAATGGATAAAGGTCACAAAACATGTCCTAATTATTTATTACTAGTTTTTTAATTTACTGGCGATATTATTTGATCTAGCACAGGATTAGACTAGGAATATGAACCCTAAAACAAACGGTATATTTCTGAGATAACTAAGGTCATTTAGTTAGCTTGAAATTATGAATTTGAGGACTTTCATGGTTGCTTAACCGAAATACAATTAATGTTGTTATTAAGATTCATATTTTTTTAGTCCTCCAAAAACAATCGGTGCATCTGTCCACCTAGCGGGGCTGGGGCTATCCTACATCAGATAGCTTTGGAGTTGGGTGTGTGTGTATAAGACCCTTTCCAGCTTCCACTTTCTAAGTGGAAGTTTCAGAGTAGTCTATCTTCTTTTATCAAAAAATAAAAAAAAGATTCATATTTTTTTCTAAATTCTTCTCTTTAAACTTTTTAGACCCAAGGAATTTTTTGTCATTGCCCGGTAGGTTTTCAAGGTTGGGTGGTGGATTTCGATGGAGTTGGGTGCAGGGATGTTAATTGAGAAGAGTTACTTGAGTTCAGCTCATCTAAAATTTGGCTTAAGCTCAACTTGTATTTTAAACGAACTGAATTTGAACAATTTGTTAGGCTCATTTAAAAAAATAAACTTTATAAACTCGACTCAAGTTTGCAAAACTCGAGCTCAGCTTGGGTTTAGGCTCTGCTCAAGTTTTAAACAAGTCAAGTTTGAACAAATTTTTAGATTCATTTAAAAAAATAAATTCTGCAAACTTGAATTCAAGCTCATAAAATTCAACTTAATTAACACACCTAATTGGGTGGTGGGTTTTGCAATGGGGTCGCGTGATGGATTTCGGTGGTTATTGGTGGTGTGTTTTGGTAGTTATTGGTGGCGGGTTTTGAAGTGGGGTTGGGTGTTGGGTTACTGGTAGTTATTGGTGATGGGTTTTGCGATGGAATTAGGTGGTGAATTTTCAATATAATATTAAACATATATTTTTATTTTTATTTTTAAATTTTTTAAATATAAGTGATTATCAAACATGTTTTATATTTATAATTTTTTATCACAAAAAAATTTGTTCTATATTTAAAAAAAAAAAACATAAAAAATGAAAACGTTACTAAACACACCTTAAAAAACCAACTAATATTGAACTAGTTCCAAATAAACGGTGGATGAATTTGCTTGTAGTCCTATAGGTCACCAATTAAGTCGGAGAAAAAAAAGAAAAAAAAAAGAGTAATCTGTCTTTAATTTTGTTATGAAGCGAGTAATGATAAATGAAGTAAAAAATAATAATTATCTAATTAGAAAAGAAAATGAATCATACAGTCTTTATGGCAATTAATAAATCAGAACTTGATGAGTCCATCCAGAAAGCTAGACTTTGAACCAATATGCATGCAAGGGTCAACGCCTTGGTTTTTCCAGCTATTCATTCTTAACCGCGTCTTAGTTCCACGAGTATATGCAAGATATTTGGTTAAAATAAGAAGGATATTCTTGTAATTTCAACTTCCCTTGCTTTTTTTTTAAAAGTTCAGGATTGCAGAGAGGGGGAGAGAGAGAAAAAAAGAACGAACTACATATAAAAACACAGAGCTCTACGAGAAACGGAAACAGAGGAACGTTTTTTGAGAAACGGAAACAGAGGAACGTTTTTTGAGAAACGGAAAAATGGGAGATGTTGTATTGTTTGTGGGTGATTTGAAATCGGTTTCAGGAGTAGCTTTATGTAGAATATGCCATGAAGAAGAAGAGTTTGAAAGCTGTAACAGCTTGGAAGCTCCTTGTGCTTGTTCTGGAACTGTAAAGGTACGCTACAAATTAAGAAGATCTTCTTTCTGTTCTTCTGGCTGGCGTGGACTTTATGATTCTAATTCTTGAATTTTCGTTTATCTAAAAACGACTGCCCCTTAACTGATTCTTTATGATTCTGATTGTTGAAGTTCGCACACAGAGACTGCATACAGAGATGGTGCAACGAAAAGGGAAACACAACTTGTGAAATTTGTCTACAGGTTTGTGTTCAGATGATATATTCTTGAGGGGTGATCATCATTCGACCTCCTTTTCTCTCGTATTCAGCACTTGCGACCCGAATTGTACAAAAAATGTTGTTTTTTTTAATTTCAAAATTTCAAACTCTGTATTGTTCGACCTTGTTTTGTCCTGAGCCTTTGATTTCTCAACCTCATCTTTTAATCGCTGGAAAAATAGATACACTTGGAACAATAGGGCTTTAAAACAATAGATTGTTTCAAATCCTACCACTTTATTTTGCAGAAATTTGAACCGGGATACACATCTCCTCCCCCAAAGGCCCAATCAATTGATACGACACTGACAACAAGGTCAGTCACCTCATCTATTCGTTTAATTTAATTAGACATATACGCTTAGCCGTAGGAATTGTGACTCATCCATCCTCCTACTACGTGCGTATGTATGTATGTTTTCAAAGATTCACCTTAGTTATGTTATTAAATTGCACCGTCTCTGTTGCCAATAAATTGCTTGACATGCTTCAAATTTTTTATTCTCCCACATTGGAATAAATAATCTCATTTAAAATTCAGACTGATTAGCATAATGCACATACTTTTATACCATAGTTTTGGTAAGATACTGATAATTTTTACAAACTGATAATAATAGAGGAAGCTTGGAAGTTCCAAGAAGAGGGCAAGAGATTGAAGATTCAGAATTAGAGGCCATAGAAGAAGGACAAATGCTTGAGACTGGCTACCCTGAATGCTCATCTTCTGTCTATAGCAGCGCCTCTTGCTGTAGATCAGTGGCTCTCATTGTAAGTGCTTTTCATAACACTTGTCCCACATACCAAATCCATGAAACCCACATGGTCAAACCAGGCGTCTAGATACTGGACTTTTAAAAGTAGAATTTCAACTCCATCAATGAAAAAAATCAGTCTTTGTTAACATGTATATGTGTAATGGAACAATTATTGCTTGTCACATTTTTGAACAATAGAAAGTGGCTTAAAGATCGACATTTATTTCAACAATATGAAAGTTCGGGAGGTTCGTTTTTATCACAATGCTATTTGGACATAATTAAAGGAATCATTACATTGGTCATGCCCCAAAGAAATAAATTAATTTCACTCCCCATTGCCCGGATCACGCCACGTCAGCTAGGCCCCAGGGTATTAACATGTCCTGCTATGGGAGAGAATTATATCCTTTTGATTATGTTTAGTCAATGTCTGTTGCTTTCTCACTTACAATTTCTTTTCTTTCTCATTTATTTGCTAAACACATTCGCAGTTCACAGTTGTTCTGCTAGTGAGACATCTGCTTGCTGTTCTTATTGAAGGGACTGAAGGTTACCCATTTACGCTTTTAACTGTAAGTACCTAACATTTTTTTTGTCTTCGCAAATGATGGTACTCCTAACTACCATCCCTATCAATCAACTTTTTCAACAATATTACCTAACTTAAAAATCAATCATTCTGTGTTGATTCTTGCAGTTGCTTATAATAAGAGCTAGTGGTATACTTTTCCCCATGTATATGTTGATCCGGATAATCACTGCAATTCAAAAGAATATTAGGGGTGGTCAGGATGAGGTTAGTTTCCTTATTCATCACTCAAAAGTTAGAAGAATACTTGTACACCACTACAACCTTAATTAAGCAAGGTCCCCTGTCCTCCGTTTTCGTTCTTCTGTTGCTAGTTTTCTGCAACTGAATTATCTTTTTTTTTTTTTTTAATTTTTGTGTTTGTCTTAGGATTCTGATGATGAAATGTCAAATTCTGATCACGAAGACGAGGAACGGCGGTAGCAGCAGCTGCAGCTGCAGCATAGAGTTGAAATTCACACTTGATTCTTCCTGAGCTTCCGTTTGTATTTGGGGCATTCTATCAATGCCTCTTTTTTTTTTTCTTTTCCCATTTTTTTGTGGAAAAAAATGAAAATATTACTAGAAATCTCTTAGACAGCCTGATGAAAAACCAACTGAAAATTTGCTTACTGTACAAGTCAATCAAATAATGGTACAACGGTTAGGCATGACCAATAAACATTTCAGTTTGTTGGTTGGAGTTTCGTTGTTAGAAAATGACAAAGTTTTGAGACGAAACAAAGCAACCGTCGTGAGTGTGTGATCAGCAATATGTTGGCTAGTTAATAATAATACACATACATATACTATAATTCTCATCACAACCAGTGTGTCTTGAAATGCACTTCTCATATCTTCTCTACACCATGGGTTTGCTTGACCTTGATTACGATTCAATGTTTGTATGATTGTTCTAAATATAACTGTTACCTCAGTCACGACCGACCTGTCGGGGGTTTAATTATTATTAGAACCATAATTATATCTCAACAACAGAACAGAATGGTCTTATGATAATTTGGATATATCATATATTCATATTTGAATCCTCCACCAGTGGTTGGTTGAACTTGAACATCAATAACAAAGGAAGAATGGTTATAAATTCAGACGATTTTGCTGGCCAAAAAATTTATATTTGGGAAATATTTTTAATGAAAATTAGAACCAATTATAATATGACAGTCTATTTTGCCAATAAAGATTAGTGCGAACTTATTGGGTCGTTAAGAACAAATGATGTGTAATATTTTGGTAAGTAAATCTAACAGTCTGTTTTATATTTTTTTAAAATTCCTATTATGTCCTCATGCAGTACGTTATTATTCCAATTTCTCTCTTCTCGCCCCATCTTCTCCCTCTCTCTTCTCCTCCTCCGACGTGAAACCACCGGTGCTCCACTCCTGACGATAGCTAGTGTAGGGGATTTATCCGCGCGTTCGGGATGTCCTCCCCCCACAGAAGGATTTCAGCTGACCTGCGCACGTTCGGCAGTAGCCTTTACCTCTCTTCGCCAATAGGACCCTTTCTTAAGGCAATCCCACATTGAAAGAGAGTCGTCTTCCCCCCTGTCATATAAGTGAACACTTCTTATGGAGGAGGTACTCACTAGGCACCTGAGTAAGGGGTAGAACCCTCTACTCCGGTCGCCCGCGTGGGTTAACCCAGGTCAAGCCGAAATCCTTAGTAGAGGGTTCTACCTTTTACAGCTAGTTCCATCACCTTATCAGTTATGGCTTACCATATCTCTCCAAAATCCCCTTAGTTTAAGCTGCCAAAGTCCTGAGTCCCAGAGCTTCTCTTCAATCGAAACAATGGAAGAGGAACTGGTGATAACTTCATCGTCAACGGATGCCAGCATCAGTTGTTGGAACCTATGTTCTGGCGCTGAGCACATTCGCTATAAATCATGCTATTGGGAATCAGTGGTTGCGATTGGAGCTTTTGATTTACTACCTACGACTTCGATCTAACCTCTGAAGAAGCCTTTCCCTCGCAAGTAGCACAGCTCCAGGAAGCCTATCATTCGCAGTTTCTCACTGAATCTTTGTCCCTCTCTCTCTTATGCCGCTAAAATTTTCTGACTTTACAGAGTTTCCTAAAGTAGATTGGCTCTGATATGGTCATAACGAACGGCTTCAGACTCCTGGACATGCCAAAATACACCACATGATCGGTACAAAATTGTCTAGTTGTCCAAAGTGACTTATACTACCGAATGTTGTGCATGGATTTTTTTTAAATGTTATTGTGATCTTGTGACTGTCTAATTTACGTTATTGTCTAATTTTGTATAATTTTGACAATGATTATGACTATTGTTACTGTGATCGTGTTATTGTTACTGTGTAATTGTGATAATGTCTAATCCACCACCACTCTATACTTCAGCATTGTCACCTTCTATAATACCTTCATTCTCAACTATCGCTCTTTACACCCCACCTATACGGACATTGTTATTAATGTGACCGTGTTACTGTAACAGTGACTATTATTGTTACTGTTGTGTCTTTGTTATTGTTACTATATTCCTGTTAATGTTACTAACTTGTCTTACTGTTGATGTCATGTCTTGTTGTTACTTTTATTGTTTGTTATTACTATTACTGTCTAGCTGTTATTGTCTATTTTGTAATATAGTTATTTATTTCATTAAGAGTACATTAGTTTTTATGTTTTTAGTTCTCCTATATGTCTCAAAAAGAACGCATTTGTCCTTCTCCTTCCAAAACTCTATAAGTGTGCACCAACTTCTAAAAAGTCCAAATTTTTAATAGTGTAAAATACTTATTAGAGAAATTTCATCCACGCGTAATTAGGTTTATATTCAATGACACTCACTCTCGATTTTAAAACTTCACTATTACCCTCTGTCAGTCTCCTGTCAGGTTATGGTGTTAACGATGATTGTTAATTTACAAAAATACCCCTGAGTATTTATAAGGTAAATTTTATCACATCTCTTATAAATAGACCTAACTTTAACAACACCCCTATAAAATAGGTCTAATTTTAACAAGATTCCCTATAAATAGGCCTAATTTTAACAACACCCACTCCTGATTCTGAAATTTTAGTGCACATATTTTTAGTTGTATTATATTTGCATTTAGTTTCATCAATCTAATATTTAATTTTATCAAATTAATATCCTTTATTTAATTTGAACTAAATTAACATTTTATCTTTTCAAATCAACATAAAATTTATATTTAATTTTATCAAATTAGCATTTAGTTATATTAATTTAATATTTTATTTCATCAAATTAATATGATTTCTTTAATTTAGCATTAAATTATTATTTAATTTTATCAAATTCAACACCAAATTGATATTCAATTTTATTAAATTAAAATTTAATATATTAAATTCCATTAATAAAACATTTAATCTTATCAAATTAATATCATTTATTTAATTTAACACCAAATGAACATTTAATTTCATTAAAGTAACATTCAAATTTATTCAATTAGCGTTAAATTTTATCAAATCAACACTAAATTAATATTTAATTTTATCAAAATTAATATTTAAATTTTATATATGAAGGGTGATGTGTGAAAAGTGGTTAGACGGCGTTGTGGAGGACAGACGATAACAGAAGAGTTAGAAATGAATGAGATTTTGACATTGACTTTATCAAATTTAATTTTTATTATAGAAAAACTATTTTTAATTATAAAAACTCGATTATATAACCAAATGAGTGATAATATGATAACTACTGTTATAATAAAGTTATCATGCAATTTTTTAAAATGATTAAAATTTATTATGATAATATAATAATAGAAATCACGCTTAGCTGGCTAGGACATATATAATAGGAAAAGAATTAAGGGCATTTTAGTTTATTTGTACAACAAAGGGTAATTTTGACATTTTTATATAATATTTAGTCAAATTATTACTTTATCTATCGGAAGAGGGAAAAGTTACCGTTAAGGAATATCATTGATTTAAAAGTATAAACTAAAAAGGTATGCAGTGAAGTTTCATAATCGAGAGAAAATATCATTAAATTTAAAATTAATTACAAGAGGTGTGGATGAAAATTTTCCTACTTATTATGTTGGATAAAGCTATGCTAAACAAATTGTTACCTAAATCTTGTATTCCAACTGATATATTAAAATTTCATGCACATAATGAATATTTGTTAAAGTTAATACACCCCACTAATTCAACTAACTGTATTGATTTGAAAAACAAAATTTGGTCAACTCAGCGTAGCATTGCTCTATTATGTGACAGTAATTTAGCAAAAAGGCCTTTGCTGGATTGCAGACAAGGACTCAGGCCCATGTAGACATTGAGCCGGAAAAAAGTCCATATAGATATGGCTAGTTGAAAACTGGCCACAAGCCCAGGTGGGACTGCTTCTTTAGGTACCCACAGTTCTGTCTTGGAGAACCGTCCAACGACTCACAGCCATCTATCTGTTGTCGCTTTGAGCGCTGCTCTCCGTCGTTCACACAACCAGTTTTCGATTGCCGCTCCGATCTGTGAAATTTATCCTTGTACTTCTTCTTCTTCTTCTCAGCAACAATGGCTAATCCGTCCTCTACTGCGCCGCCACCGAGGTGTGCTCTGCCCATCGCTGACAAACCATCACGTCGCGACGACGATGACGAGGACTTCATGGACAGAAAGTGCTCTTTCTTAACGGTAGCTCTCTGCCCTTGTCTCGTTTGTTTTATGCTCGTCATGACCATAGTCCCCATTGTACTTGTTGTCAAGTTCCATTTATTTTGCCATACCCCTCTTCACTCTCTTTTCTCCAAGAAAATATGCCATTAGCTACTTTGGATCCTTGCCTCTTCACTTTCACAGTTTCCCTTTTAACCCGCATCCCCAAGATCCAAAATGTACTTGAATTTTAAGGGTTTTCCACTGCTACAGATGGTGAATGCGAAGTCGGAGGGTTTTAAAAATTTAACAAAGATCAAGTGAGAAAGTGTAAATAGAAAGCGGATTCAAAAGAGGTTGACAATGTGTCTAAGGTGATCAATGAATTGTTATTTGTTAGCAATAACATTGGATTGGGAGCGGTTTTAGGTGAACGTAGGATCAATCGGACCCATGATTTGGTTTAGGATATTTGGAACAGTCTAAATATCCTGGGAAGTCGGCTTTTCAGTTTCTCTGTTGGGCAGAGCGGGGGGCCTGGGATCTCCCATAATTGAGGGACATAAAATTAGATGATAAGAGGATATGCAGTTTTGACTTTTGAGGCAATGGTGTTGCTGCTTGAAGATGGATGAGACAGGGCTTCTCTTAATGAAGACTTTCAAGATTGAGATTACAACGTTTGTGGCTGATAAAGAAGGATGGACGCAGTAGGGATTCTTGAAGTGGAGTTGCGGTTGTGACAGAAATGGATTGCTTGATGCTCTTGGGACGTTTGAGAAGTGCATCAATGGAGGGTGTAGCGTGAAGATGAGTGGTAAGGGTTTTAAGCCCGATATTGTTGCCCATACTACATTGCATGAAGGATTGTTAAAGGGTAGAATTGGTTTGATTGTGTTTAAGATATTTGAGGTAATGAAGGCAATCCTCTGCTGTTTGAAACCATGCCATACTGAGAAGAAATTTATGCAAGCAGGGGGAGGGGAAGCTATAAGTTTAGTACTTTTGTTTAGTCTAATCTAAACAATAGAAATGATCAAATGAATATAAGTACCCATCACAGCAACCAAAATCCTTGAGCATAGAAAAGCTCAAGCAACCAAACCCCTACAAGTGGATCAAAATGATCTTCCAAAATATGCCTCTTTTCTTCAAATTTCATTCTGAAAAATTTAACATTACTCTCAAGCACACCAACATTGTGACCCAGCCCAAACCCAATATGCCCCCTTTCTTACCCTTCTTCTTCATCTGCTTAGCAAAGAAGAGACTGTTAATTCTACAGCTTGTGAAGCTTCCCACATTGGCCACATTATGCTCAGTATCATCAATCTGTTTACCTTGGAGTCTCAACTAACACTGCAAAGTCGAGTACTTTTGGGAAACACGATGTTCTGGAAGTGAGCCAGAATGTGGCTATTGGGTTTGTGCTCAGAAGGAGATGGACAAAGTATATGGATTGTTGAAGGAAAAACGACACCCTCTTGATGTTGAGATGTACTATCCTCTGATCCAGTTGATGATGAGCACCCAAATGCAGGATGCGGGGCAGCATGTGGAAGAAGAGTAGTGTTTGCCCAACTATTCACAGCTGTTTACATGATGATGACGTCATATGCGAAGTCATGACATCTACTATGTGGATTGGAAGGAGACCAATAGGAAGAAGTGTTGCCAGATGATTCTTTTTGTTGGAAGGCTTATAAGGCTGGGAAGATCTGTTGAGGCTTGTCAATGTTTAGAAGAAATGACAGAGAAAGGAATAGAACCTTCTTAACTTGTTTACAACGAGTTCATGGCTGATTTCTAAGGCTGGGAAACGTGAAATAATGGGAGAGTTGGCTGAAAAACTGAAGCTGTCATCAGACACTGGATTTGGTCATGTCATCCTACATCTAACAAACAAGTCATTTTTTGGCCCACAATCCCTGATGTATATAACTATGTTCCTCATAATCTTAATCTCCTTTGGCATGTTTGGATTGAATTTGGGCGAAGGATTGGACTAGCTTTGATGAAACCCTTATACATGGGTTTGATGAAGCAAGCCCACCTCCGTAGATTTGATGAAGCCCTTTTACATGGGTTTGAGGGAGGTTGAGTCTGTTAAAGTCCTGGGTCTGTGAAAGGCATCCAAACATGGGATATGGCAATGGATTGGACTATTTTTTTTAAGGGTTAATTACAAATCGTATTATGAAATATCGCTCGAATCTTAATTTGTATTCTCAAATATCAAAAATTTTAATTTGTACCCTCAAATATAAAAATTTATATCAATGTGCACCTCTAAAGATCAAAAATCTCAATTTATACACTCAAAGATAGAAATTTGTATTAATGTACACTTAAAATTAAATTGATAAATTATACTTAGATCCCTTTATGTTTGTCACTTAATCATTTGAAACCTTTCACATTTAGAATATTACTCTTACATCTCATGACGTTTGTGCACATGTAACACGTAATCCCTTTTCGTTGATATCTATTAATAAAACAGTTAAAAAATATGATTTTATCGTAATAAAAAATTATAATTTTATATTATTCTTTATTTTATGTGTCAAATATACTCTAAAGTTCAAAATTAAACTTACTATTTAAATGTCTAATAGAATAAAAGGTTGCACATTGAGTGATATATTGCATTGTATAAAAACAATATTATATAAATATCTACATTCTATTGGGCATTCAAATAGTAAGCTTGATTTTGAACTTTAGAGTATATCGGACCCACAAAATAAAGGATAATATAAAATTATAATTTTTTATTAGAATAAAATCATATTTTTTTAAAGGTTATATTAACATATATCAATAAAAATGGGTTATGTGTTACACGTGCACAAACGTCATGAGATGTAAGAGTAATATTCTAAATGTGAAGGTGTTCAAATGATTAAGTGACAAACATAAAGGGATCTAGGTATAATTTATCAATTTAATTTTAGGTGCACATTGATACAAATTTTTATCTTTAAGGGTACAAATTGAGATTTTTGATCTTTGAGGGTGCACATTGATACAAATTTCTATCTTTGAGGGTGTAAATTGAGACTTTTGATCTTTAAGGGTCTAAATTGAGATTTAAACTATCTTTCGGGTTATAATTTACAATTAACCCTTTTTGTTAAATCCCCCTCTATAGATCTGCCTAAACCCTCGTAACAAACAGGCCCATGTAGTTCTGGAATTGTCACAAAACTATGTTCCTTATTTCTTAACTTGCTTGGAGATCATGAATTGTACTCAGTTTTGCTATTTGGGTTTATGATATTGCTTGTGTTGACCCGCTTACGTTGTAAAATTGGTCGTAGGTCCTCAGCCATGGCAAAAAGTCCTCGGTGGATAGCTTTTCATTATTTCTGATTCTTAACTGATCACCTTTAGGAACCAATAATGACATAAACAGGTTTTACTAAGAGGATCATTCAGGTGAGTTCTTCTAATAACAGTCTGTGATTTTTCTAAAATGAAATGGAAGAAGATTGAAACTTGGGAGGAGCTCAAGCTGACCAAATGATAGAAGAAGCTGATCGAGTCCAGCAATGGTGATTAACATACACATTCCTGTTATGGTCAATTTGACAGTATTTTTTTTTTTCAGTAACTAGGAACGCACTACGTGCACGTGAACAATTTTCGTACACAAAAATTAATAAAATATATTTGATATATATGTATCTAAATTAAATATCATATCAAGTTTATAAATTTTAATTTTTTATTGTTCATATTATATTATAAGATTATGAATATTTTATATATTCCCAAAATTCTTTGTTCTAACTATAAAAAAATAGATAAAGTCCTATATTTTTAGAATTTTGTTATTAAAATTGATTTTTTTAGTGATGTTTGAAAAATTAAATTTCTTGAAATTTATTTGATTAGGATTTCAATTATAATTCATTGAATAAAATAAAAGTAATTGTTAATATACTAATCACATTGAAACTTTACTGCAATTAAAAATAAGTTAGGTCAATTGGAATAAGATTTAATATACTACTCTATAATTTATATTATCAAATATCTTAAAATTCTAAAGAATTCAAGTTTTACTTAAAAATACACTACGATATTTATTTTTATAAAAAAAAATTTAGTACGACTTATAAAGTTTGGAGTAAATTACACTAACATCCCTTACTGTTTACCTACCAATTTCACAAAATATCTCTATGGTTAGCATTGTTATTGGCAATGTCAAAAAAGTGATTACATCATCAACTTTTTATACTTTAATACTCATATTATCCCTCAGTAAAATTAGGCTAATCTATTTATTTTTATATCGTGTTTATGTTCGTATTCGCATTCATGTATTTTTTTTTATATCGTTGAACCTCTCCAAGGTAATGCTACTTTGTACCAATGGATCTTTGGTCCAATGGTATTCTTTATCTGGTGAAAGTTTTGTCTTCATGAGGTCAAGGGTTCAAGCTCCTTCCCCCCCCCCCCAAAAAAAAAAGGTAAGGCCACTTTGGACCCATTCTTGCTAGAGTAAACCCCGGATATCTGCTGCAATTACCCGCAAACCACAGGTATTAGTTTAAGTCTGAGAGACATCAACGATAGTCAAATTCCTGACGCCCGGGTCTACGGTTTATCTTGGTTCAACTCCACACTGTTAGGCTACCCGTGCAAGTGTGTTCGTATTTATATTGACTCGTATAAACTTTAAATAAAAAAATTTAACATTAAGATTTAAGTCTAAGGTTCTATTATTACTTAATTGAATCCATTATCGTACTTTTTTTATAAATTAAAAATTAACTTAATAAACATAGCAATAATAATTAGTAAAAATATATTTTTTATACAATAATTTTGTTAGTGTTTAATAAACAGTAACAAATAATTAATATTTTATGTTTATAATATTAATTAAACATATAGATCATTGCAATTCTGTGTTGTTCGTGTTAACATACAAACAAAAAAATAGAGGAAATTCGACACAATTAAATAAAACGAGGTTAATCGTGTCAATTTCAGGTTTGACGGTTTGAACCCGAAAATAACCCATTTATTAGTATTTAAATATATAAAAGAATCATAAGTAAAAAATGATGCATGATAAGGGTAATTATGAAAAATTTCTTTTTTTGTTATATTTTTCGAGGGCCAAGACCTGACATGGGGTATCAATGTAATTTCAGAAAATCAAGGGGGTGTCCCTGTAATTAGACCAATCTACATGAGTGTCAGTGTAATTTATCCTAAAATTTATGGTGACCAAAGAATTATATTGATATAACAAATTGATTTAAAAAAATTATATATATAATTATTTTTAATCTTAAAAATAAAAGGTTCAACTTTTTGATGAAAAATAATATATATATATATATAAGATGATGAATAATATTAGAAAGATGAAGTTTTTAAATTTTTTTTAAACAATTTATTGAAAATATAATGATGCATATTTTTTTAAGAGTAATATAGTTAATCAAAAAATAATATTTATATATAAAGAATAAATAATTAAAATAGATGTTATAGTTATTTTGGAGATTTAAATATATATAAGGATATAATAGTAATTTAGATATTTAATTGTGAAATGATAGAATGATTTTTACAATTTTTTATAAGGGTAAAATAGATATTCAAATGAATTTTAAATTAATGATCCGCAAGAGGCACATGGCCCACGTGCAGCTCAACAGAGCCCACCGAGTAGGGTCATAGATGGCCCAATGAAGTTAATGGCACAGTTGATTTCCCTGTGTATAATCATACAAAGATTTGATTGCACAATGTTTATTCATTACAATTGTTGATTCTACGAATACTATCAAACAAGTACTTCTCTTAAATGTACAGATACAAGGGGCTCTGGTCATTGTTTTGGTTCTAACTTTTGTTCAAATAGATGACGGAACTGCTCAACAAGAGTAACAAAAGTAGCAACAACATGGATAGTGAAAGCAGATTTGATACCATGTGTACAGTGTATGTATTATTATGTTCCATAAACACAAAAGAAACAAATCCATAAAATGGATAGGTCAAGGATATTCAGCCACTTATGGTAAATTGATTTGCGTTGCTTGAATTATAGTAAAAGAAAAAAAAAAAAAAAAAGAACAAATTAACTATTGTGGAAAGGGAACAAAGAAGAAAGCAAGATGTAAGAGATGAGAGAACACCGACTAAACTTTTAACGCTCTTTTTTTGATAAGAAAATTTGTCTATTTTTAATGCGAATGAGGAATGCAAGATAATAAAGTCGTGTCCTCTTCAACTATTACAGGTTAGCCCATTAACTGAAGACCGTAAATAGAATAGAAAATTTTCAAATTTTTAATGTAAAAGTAATAGTATTTCTTGATTGAATTCTTATTACAACTAATCTATATATTTATACAATAAAGTAGAACGATTTTGAATTCAAGAGATAAAGAGCGGGTGAGATCGTTCGTGACAAAAAAAAACATCATCCAACGGACGACGTTATTCCAAATTGTCTCGACCTATTGACGTCTCAGATCGATTTGATTCAACGAACCACATTAACTCTTAAAAAAAAAAGTCTTCACTCAAAATCTACTTTCCAAAAATGGCATCTCAAAATTTAATTAACGGAACCCCATCCAGAGTGAAACAGAGACCCCCCAACCGCTGGGTGTGCTAGAATGTCCATATGTGGTGCCCAGCCAATATGCACCACCCCTTTGCCTGATGTCCGGTGACCAAAACCCGAAGGCAGAGCATCGAAAAGAGGTGTGTATTTTTAGGTTCCTTTTTCAGTTTATATTTAGTAAGAGAATTTCAATTGTGCTCCGTTCGGTACGATAAAAAAATGAGAGGATAGAAAGTTGGAAGGATGGAAAGTTGGAGGGATAAATAAAACATCATGTTTGGTAAGGAAGGAAAGTAGGAAGGATGGAAAAGTTGATGAATTAACTTTCCTTCCAACTCACCAAAATCAATTCCTCCAAAATCGGAAAGAAAGTGGATGAAAAGTTAATTATTTGTGTTGGGATATATCTTATTTTTCTATATATCTTATGTATGCATTAATTTCATATAAAAATACAATGGTAAAATGTGTATATATATTTTAAAATTTAAAAAAATAAATAAATAAAGAAAATAAAAATTTTAAGTTAAAAAAAATATTTTTTCCATCTTAAATAGTTGACTTGGTTAGATTTAATTTTAATTTGAGCACAAAATTTGATTAGTTATCAAAATTCAGGCTAAGTGGTAGTAATGGTAATTGTGGTATTAGTGCTAATAGTTCTGTATAGTTGTGTTTTTAGAAGATTTTGCTTGATGTCATGTTATCTCTTCACGAATATGTTTAAGTATGATATATGAAAAAACATCTTTACTTTATAAGGTTTGTCCATATTCATATTTTTGTAGGGTCTTATTTTTAGAAAAAATTTAGCCGTAATTGTTTGGAAGAATAGAAAAAAATATATTATATTTTTGAGGCACGCGCATTCTCTAAACTATTAAAATATTATGAGGACAAAAAATGTAATTTAATCCGATAGAGTGTTAAAATTTTAGTTTTAATTAATTTAGGTTTTGTTGATGTTGTTTATTATATTTTTTGTTGCAATTCATCTCTTAATCCCCCTTCTTTGTTTTCTATCTCATATTTATTTGATTCTGTTCATACCACAATGATTTTTGAATTTACTACTATTTGGATATCAATCAATAATTAAACAGTCATTGAACAATGTTTGAGATTGTTTTGATTTGTATTCTATCAATTTTTTTAAAAAAAATAATGAGTTCATATTATATTTATCAATGTTTTTTCTTAGTTTTTTTAATTGGTAATTTTTTATGGCATATAGTCTCTTAATGCACATGTATTTAGTTGTAATTTTTTTTTTGTTACGCCGTGCATTCAGGTACGGGCAATTGTTAGTTCCTCAATATCTGATAATGTTCTTATTATAAGGAAGTTAGGGCAACGGGCTGGTAAGAAGTTTGAGTGGACTATTTTTTTGCAAAATTATGCTCAATTTCTTATGTGCAATTCCACACAGTGACATGTGCTTAAAAATAATTAAAAAGTCTAAGACAATATAATGGGCGCAAAACTCTTTTATCTGTCTCGCTCTCGTTCTCCTCCTCCGAAAACATGTTCAATAGCATTCTCCTAAACAAAGTGGCAGCTTGCTTAGTCCATGGTCCGTTCTTTGGTTGATGAAAGACCAAAAATCACAACACATTGAAAAACTTTTGTTTTCGTCCTTTGCCTCAGGGCTTGTCAGCATTCCCTATTGTCATGATTCTATTACACGGAAACAGTTTGTAGGTAGTCTGGATTTGTGCCTTTCATATTCCATGCAAAGAATCCAAAGAAAATAAAAATCCTTACACGGACAACACGTTTCTTAGAAACAAAATCCTTACAACACCTTTCTTATGTTTCTATCTCTAACTTCCTTTTTCTCTGAATAAATTCTTATCTTCAATTGGACACATTGTCTCTGAATTCCCATGGCCATCTGTACTAGCACCAAGTGTTCCTCCAACTGACATACATACAGTTTTCCCACCTGTGTCATTCTTATACTTGAGGTTCCTTCCATGCCTTTCATTGACAACATTACCCTTTTCATTTGAATCCCTTCTGTAATATTTAGAATTCAATTTGACAGAATAAACCAACTAGTCAGTGCTGAATTGTGTTTAATCATTTTACATAATTGTCACCAAGTGTGGAAGCCTCGAGATTTAACTGCTCTCTACGTATCCCCAAGAATAATATTATTCATACCGGAGATAGTTCAAATCAATTTGAGGCTTAAGGCGGAAATATTAAATAGATGTCTTTTTATTTTTATTATTAATTTTAAAAAAATAATAATTTATTTTTAATTTTCTATATGATAAAGAGATAAAAGAAAGATGTGTTAATATTATCGAGAAAGAGATTTCAATTTTTATTTTTGTTTTTTTATTTTTTTTATCAGAGAGAGAGAAAAAGAGTGGATGAAAGTAAATATGAGTTGACTTTTGAGTATTTTTTTAATGTTATGGATTAGATTATAGGCCCAAATTATTGCAATAAAAATTTTGATTAAATTTAATGTTTTGGGGCTTTTTTGTAGGACTTAAAATTTAATGGATTTAATTTTTTTGTGGGCCAATAAAATTATAGAGCCTTCTAAAAATTTGAGGCATAAAATCCATACTTTTTTTTCATACCGTTGCGCCAACCCTGATTCATACCTAAATAATTGATCTAATTTATTTTACTTAATAATATAATTTTATTATAACCATTGAATTAACAACATTAATAAATTAAGTCCCGATAATATTAGTGACCAAAAATAATAAATGTTACTTCATCATAAATGCTATCGTTTGAAATCAATGCCAATGTAAGTGCCAACAATGATGACATTTTTGTAATAAATTCATTTCTTTGCCACAATAATTTTGCTTCGCTATGCATTTAATAAATAAGAAAGCTCAATAATGAAAAAATTCATTTAAATATCCCTATTTATTTTTTTGTTTATTTATTAGACCTCACTTTGTGAGTTGGGGCAATTTTGGTAGTCCATTGTAGAAGACCAAGAAATTTCCTACTGCATTCTTGCCTTAAACTGCAGAAAAAGATTTGACGCAAGATTCATATCTAGGTCTCCGTCTCTAACGCACTTTTGCTGCTGCTGCTGCTGCTGTTCTCTCTCTCTCTCTCTTGGCAATCGATCTTGTCTGATTTTATGAAACTCACGCTCATGTGAAGAAGACTGGTATAGACACAGGTAAAAACAATGTCAATAAAGAACCCATAAAAGAAGTAGATTTATTTTGTATTGTATGTATCTGGGAGTACAAGTTGAAAATTCATTAATGATGAAGTCATCAATGGCTTCTTTTCCTTTCTTTTTGTTCTTTTCTAACTGGGTTTTCTTTTTGGTTGTTTGCAGAGGAAGAAAGAAGAATATTTCACATGCAGCGACATGAATGTGTGTATATACATTGAGAAAATCATGGATGATAGGGTGTGAAAAGCGCAAGAAAGTTTATTCTGGGAGGTTTCACAACTTAAACCAAAAAGATCAAAGGTGGTTCTAGATTACGATAATGTCTCCAACTGTCGTCCATGTTTATCATCGGATCATCGATGTCCTTGCTTAGTTGTCGGTTTCCTTTCTTTTTCAATCTTCCTTATTTTCTTTGGTTCGCGTTCAAGAATCGGCCCAACCCTATGGAAAAATAATCAATCTTCTGAAAAAGATTAGATTCTTTCCTTTCTTTCTACAATCTATACATACATGTATACATATATAATCGATGCAGATACACTTTTTTTTCATGGGTTCAGACACACACACACATAAATGTATATATGATGCCTCTCTTGGCCAAGTGCGGCTTCAACCGCTGGTTATGCTTTACTAAAACCCTAAAAAAATGTTTTACTAAACCCGAGTTCTGGCATCCAAAACCCTAATCTTTGTATACATCTATGTATTCATTATGGGATTAGGGAGTTGATACATAGCTCAACCATCAGAATCCATCAATATGATAATATATTCTGCTGAATAAATGATCATTAAGTAATTCTAGCAATTTTATAGATGAGAGATTTTCTCCATAATTAGTGTATATTGCCGTGGTTAACATTGCCACGATTTTTCAGAATAAATAGAAATTAGTGCATAATAGGCCCTGGTAAACAAAAGCTATCATAATTTGCAGATATCAGCATTTATTTCCGAATTTTTTTCATGGTGATGCAGAGAAGGTAGTGGCCTTCCATTGATCCAATTCCACCAGACCCCATGAAGCTCAGTTCGTTGATAGTCTTGAGGCCTGTTTGTTTCTTCATTGTCCTCGTAAGTTCTGAGAACTCAATGTTTTCATGAGATTAAATATATTTGATTTGTGGTCATGGACTGAGAACCTTTCGATTACTGAAGATTAGGAAAAGAAGAATCAAAGAACGATACTGATATACATGCTTGGTTGCACTATGCAGGCATTTGTCGTGCTGCTGCTACCAGGTCTGTTGATCCCATTTTGGATTACCAAGGTCAAAAGAGTTGAAGATGAAGTGAAGTTGATTTCACAAAATCTCCACCAAAACCTACAATCAGAAATAGAGAATATGGCAACATTGTTAACTTCAATGAATTCATCGGCAACCAATTTAAGGAGAGTATTAAGCTCTTCTCTGGATGAGACTGAACTTGCCTTCTCTCAGATTGAAACTAAGGTTGGTATTTGTTTGTCTAATAAGTACTAAGCTAAGAAATGTTAGTATAATAAATTTATTTGAAAAACAATTCTTTTATTATTTTGTCTTTACTAATATGCAGGTGGCTCCTTCATTGTTTCAATCATTGTCAACAATCCCTCACTTGTCCCAGATTTCATACATTGGATTGGATGGTTTGTTCTTCTCCTACTACACTGAAGGCGCTCAACCATTCGCCGTGTATTCTAACTCATCGTTTTCTACTAACCCGAATGCTACAACAAATTATGCTTGGTACACTCAGCCTGTAAATCGTGACACCGGGAAGCTATATGGAGGAGCTGTTAAGTCTCTTCCGTCTGTTACATTTAATGCAAGCTGGTTTCGAGAAGCCCTGAATAGTACAAGTGGATACGCTTCGTTAGGAACTGTGTGGAATAACGCTCAAGATCTTCTGTTCCTTAACACAGTGGGTATGGATGGAAGAGGAGCCATCTCCCTGGGGTTTACAGTGAAACCATTAGTTGAGATCTTCTCGGGCATAAATTACAATGGTGGAAGTTTTTATTTGGCAACAAAGGATGGGAAAGTACTCAATGAAGGGATCCCAAACACCCGCATGATCCTTGCTGATAATTCAGTTTCATTTCAATTACTGAAATCAAGTGGTGATCAAATAGGCCAAATTGGCAATGTTACATGTGAATCCAATGATGGCTCATCAAGAGCGTCTATCTTGAACATTTGGGAGACGAAATATATTATTTATTGTTCCACGCTTGACATAGTTGGAGTGCAATCGGTATGTTTCAATTCATTACAATGACATTTTGATAATGCTTTAAATTAACTTGTTTTTCTTTTAGATTTAACTCATAATCTACTTCCCCAAACCATGCATCATCTCTGCATTATTTGCCAATTTTCTTTTTAAATGGAGGCAATTACTGTTCATAATCTAATTCTATTTTGTCGAAATCTCAGGTGTATGCGTTGGCTTTACCACACAAGGGGCTAGAGAGCCTTATTCACAAAAATATCCAAATTGCATTCGTGCTCCTTGTGCTAATGATTTGCTCAATGGTTCTCTACATTTTCATTTTCGTGTTCTTAACTGTTAGAGCTGCCAGAAGAGAGATGTACTTATGCGCAGCACTCATAAAGCAAATGGAAGCAACTCAACAAGCAGAAAGAAAGAGTATGAATAAGATTCTTGCCTTTGCAAGTGCCAGCCACGACGTGCGTGCTTCTCTAGCCGGCATCACTGGTCTGATAGAGATATGCCGCGATGAAGTTGCTCACGAATCAGAGTTGGAGACAAACTTGATACAAATGGAAGCTTGTACAAAGGACCTTTTGGGTAAATTTACAATCTGTATCTCAATCTTCACAATGTTTTAGGCAAGTTTACTCATGTATAAACACTTTCTCTTATGAATTATCTAGGTATACTAAATTCCATTCTTGATACAAGTAAAATTGAAGCTGGCAAGATGCTTCTTGAAGAAGAAGAATTTGACTTGGCACGGCTACTTGAAGACGTGGTCGATTTATACTATCCTGTTGGTCTGAAGAAGGGTGTAGATGTGGTGTTGGACCCCTATGATGGCTCTATTACCAAATTTTGTCATCTTAAGGGAGATCGTGGCAAATTAAAGCAGATATTAAGTAATTTGTTGAGCAATGCTGTAAAATTTACCTCGGAGGGACATGTATCTGTTCGAGCTTGGGCAAAGAAACCTAGTTTTGAAAATTCACTACTGGCTTCCAATCGGAACAATTCATTAACATGCATGTCGTGCTTGTTCTCTAAGAATGACAAAGCATACAACGGTTTGGAAGCCATGAATACAGCTCAACAAGATCCAAACTGCATGGAATTTGTTTTTGAGGTAAATGACACGGGAAAGGGAATTCCCAAAGAGAAGAGAAAATCTGTTTTCGAAAACTACGTTCAGGTCACAGAGACAGCTCTTGGACAAGAAGGCACCGGCTTAGGGCTTGGTATTGTTCAATCCCTGGTATGTATATATAGTATTCTAACTGTTAATACACCCTAGAATGATAAAAAATAATTTCTAAATTAGTTGTTTATTTTATGATAGGTACGTCTAATGGGTGGAGAGATAGGAATTGTGGACAAGGAAGATGGTGAAAAGGGAACTTGCTTCAGATTCAACACCTTCCTCACCGTATGTGAGGCGGAGGTAAGTGGTAATGCAAGGGAAGATGACACTGAGTCCCATGGTGGTTACATATCTAGTGACTCATATCAACATTCGGGGCCAACCACTCGTATCCACAGTCCCAAGCTAGAAGGATCCCATATCATCCTCTTCATTCAGAGCAATGAAAGGGCTAAGATTTTGCACAAATACATGGAGAACCTCGGGATAAAAGTGTCAGTTGTAAATCAGTATGAGCAGCTTCCTCGCATTCTCAAGAGGACCAAACAAAGGATGATCCTTTCCCGTTACAGTTCTTCAGGAAGATCTGATATGAATTCGAGAAGTGACTGCCTTAGCAGACCCGCATCCCGGAACTCGAGTACTAGATCAAAGGAAGTGCCATTAAGTGCCATGGATGGAACAGATCATACACTATCCCTCCAAACAAGGACTCAACTTAGGGGCACTTCAAACTTCATATTAATTGTGATTGACACAAGTGCTGGACCATTTCGAGAACTGAGTATGGCTGTAGCAGAATTTAGAAGAGATCTTTGTAGTACTTGTAATAGGGTTGTTTGGATAGCTAAAGCAGGTGCTCGCAGCATTAATGCTCAAGGCCTTGATGAAGACAAGCTACCTCCTACAGATCTGATCATATCTAAGCCATTTCATGGATCACGCTTGTATCAAGTGATAGGTCTTCTACCGGAGTTTGGGGGTAGAATGCCCGCCACACCACCAAAAATAAAGGGAGAAAACACTCACATGACACCAAGATTAAGGCGTTCTCCGGCTGAAAACCTTTCGACACATCAGGGGGAAATACAAGAACTTGGTGGCACAAGCACTAATAAACCCTTGAGCGGGAAGAGAGTATTGGTGGCAGAGGATAGTTTAATGTTGCGCAAAGTAGCAATGTCTCGGCTTTCTCAGCTTGGAGCAAGCGTTATCCTGTGTGAAAATGGGGAAGAAGCTCTGCAACTAGTTTGCCAAGGACTAAGTGATCAGAGGAGACGTGGAGCTTCTCATATTCTACCTTTCGATTACATTTTAATGGATTGTCAGGTAAAGAGCCTATATTTAGCAGTCTTCTTCTTTATGTCTCTAGTTTCTCTTTCTTTAGCAGTTATCTTTGCTTTTGGCCTTCATCTTTTGTCTTTAGTCTAAGAAGAGTGACTCTTTTCATCTAAACTTTACGACGGTTGTTAGTTTTATCTCTTTATTAGTTAATTTAGTATCGTTTCTTTGTTAGTTAATTTATTATCGTTTCTTAATTGCACGTATCATATTAATGGTAGTCCTTCTCGCAAGTGTCTAAAGTCTTATGATGGTCCCTTTCAACGTCGGGTTAAAACATCAGGCTCAACATATTTATGCGTGCTATGGGTACACACAATTTATCTGCGAGGGGTATTTTGCTAGGGTTTTTTTTGCTCTTTAAAACTGCTATCACCCTACATACATGTGGACACAACTATGTCCACAAGCCCGGGATATGATAGCAAGGACATCTCTTTTGTCTTCTTCCTGAGTTTATGCGTGTGTGGGGTTATTTATTCGCTGAAACATCTATGATTTACAGATGAATTTGATGGACGGGTTTGAGGCAACAAGACACATACGAGAAGAGGAGGAATATTATGGTGTTCACATACCGATCATCGCGTTATCTGCTCATTCTTCAACAGGTGAGGAGGCAAGCATGATGATTCAGGCCGGTATGGATTATTGTTTATCCAAACCACTGAATGAGGAACAGCTTATGGAAGCCATTACTTACATTCATAGCAGATGATAATGTATGGCCATACCTTGTTTGCCTCTTTTATTTATGAACATTAGATTCATGTATTTTTTGGGGATGACATAATAATATTTTTTGCCGGGATGTATTGTTTTTGGATAATAATATTTCCCTAGAACAAATATAACTGTGTTAACTTTTAAGATAATACTGTGGGCCAAATGGTTCATTCCACAAAATTAGCTATATAATGATGAAAAATAAGATAAAAATTACATCTGTATGAAGATTTTTACAACTTTGACAATGTTCTGGTAAAATAGTCTGATAGATGTCTCATCTTCGTTAAAAATTCTGCATTTTTTGCAAAGTAAGCTTGAGCATTTGATATCATTACCATAATGTCGTGCCCTATTGCTTCCAAGCTCCGATAGTAATCGTTTTCCAATCTTGACTCGATTATTCCAGGAGACAATGGAACGGGAAACCTGCAAAATCCCATACAACCAAAAAAGGAAAGATTAACTTCCAATTTTTTGCCCATCAATGCATTATCTCCAAATTCATCATGGCGTACAAATTCCTAACCTCTATATATTATTTGACCCAACAGACCACATGATACCACCTACTATCCACCCCAAAGTTAAGGAAGGCATTTAATAATTGCATTTTGCTTTTAGTTAAAGATATGGTCTTTGGTAGCATATAAAATAACTTATATATGCACTGATATCCTCTTATCTTGAAGACTTTTTTCACAAGTCGCAGTCATCAGCAGATGAAAATATGTTCCGAATAAAGAGAGTAGTGTGTGGTGGAAAACAGTCGCCGACCTCATACTCACAAAGCAGCGCAGTGACAATGAATGGTGATTGCACTATTCTGAAATAAGCTATAGCTTAAATCTCAACGTTCTGCATCCCCTAATGGCTAATGCCAGCAAAATGTAGAAGACAAAGCGTCGTCAAGGCCACACATAAGTATTACCTATTTAAGAAATCCAACTTCTGAGCAACTTGTTCCAATTTTAGAATCCCGAGATTATCCTGCAATATGCACAAATAATTCAATTAGGTTTTTTTACGTAGAATACTCATCCATTTGCCATTGCAACTAGAACAGAAAAAGTGACTGCGCCACATGCGAATATCAAAACAATTTGAACTACAGAACCCAAAAAAAAAACAACCTGATTTCTGCTTGCCAACCGCCGTAATTTAGTGAAAGAAGATAGCATCTTGTTTCTCATCTCATGATCAATATGTGGGTGCACCCATCGACTGTCCGGATCATGTAGTTCCCAAGGACTATGTTCATGGCTAGCATTAGGATCACTCTTGTACCGGATACCATACCTTTCCCATGGACTACCAGGAAATTCATCAGATTTGTCTTTTGAAGCAAAAATCCGACCTTCCCACCAACTACCACCTTCCTCACTCTCGTCTCTCCACCAGACCAGGCATTTATCCCTACAAGTCCAATTTTTAACAATAGCAGCATCATACCGTGTTCTCTCAACAATAAAATCCGAGAAGTTAATCAGTTCAGGCAGAGTCAATTTGAATTTGTGGCCAAACACTTTGGAAGAAGAATCTATGAATTTAAGGGTAATTTTACAACAGCTCTCTCCAGACCCTGGAAGTGTGGCATAATCAAGGCCCTCCACCAAACAAATTTCCACGGCTCTGATGCTTTCCCCAAATTTTTTCCAAGGACCTACTTCTTTTGAGCAACTTGATTTTACTATGTACTCTTGATGGCCCTGAGAACCACAGGATGCCAAATAAAATTTTGTGCAGAATCACTAATTCTTCAAATCAGTTTATACAAAATGCTTAAGAAATTTTTAAACAAGAAAAATCAACTGATATACCTGTCTTAAGTATACAACTTCATCACCTAGCTGTGGGATGTAACGATATCCCTCCTCCTGCCCAGACAACAATAGCCAGTTTGATTTTCTTAGTTCAACATGTGACTTCCTTCCAACTGAAGCATTTCGGCCATTATCGTAATAACTGTCTCCACTGTGTCTGGTAGACCTAGATCTGACAACCATTTCTGAAGTTCGTATCCATTCTTCTGACGAGAGCTGATCAAATTCTTTCTTGGATAACTTATCTGCACTTTTTGATGACCATACTGTGTCTAAGATATTACCCTCTCTAGCCATAAGGTTATGGCTGACGTCTGTTTCCCGTGAAGATGCCTTCAACCTCAAGGATCTTGTGCTATGCATTGCCTCAGTTGCAGCTTCAGGGAACTCCACTTCCGCCTCATGATTTTGGCTGCTGGCCTTTGAAGTACCTTCGCCTATTTCACCACTATAACCTTCTAGACTGGCTCTCAACCGATGTGATGTGGCCCTTCTGACAGCATCATCCAAATTCATGTTCCAATCAGCTTGCAATTTCTGGGTAGAACTTGGTCCATCCAGACTCTCATATGCTTGTACTCCAGAAACCGGATTTCTTTTAGTGTATGAGGGACTTTTAGACAATACATCACCTCCAGCATTGATGGGGGCATCCACAACACTGAGGGACTTCAGTTCAGAAGGACTTTTGGAGTCCCTGAAAATCTTATTTGATTTAAACCTTAATATTGTTGGCTTGGGTGGTGGGTTCTCTTTTGGTACAGGAGAGTCGTTTGTGCCGACAACCGACTCATGATTTCTTGATACATCAGAACCAGAAAAATCTTTGCCTTCCTTGGTGAGATTTTTATCAAATGAGACTCCAAAAGTGCTCCCTTCCGGCTGGTACCTATCAAGGGGTGATAAATCGTATAATGAAGACTTTGGTGCATCTTCCAAAGAATAGCACACACTATTTCTTGCACCATCCATATCCTCCAATACAGCCGTTCCACACTGTTCCTCATCCCTGCAAGCCTCGCTCAACAACTGAACACCATGGTCTTGGATTCCAGAACCAGGGGTAGACTTTCCATTTTCATTCTCAGGTTTAACATGCTCATTGATCCTGATCATGCTTCCATTATGGCCATCAAAAGTTCCATTGAATCCAGAACATGAACCAAATGGCATGAGATCTTCAGACTTCATTCGCTTGGATGTGCGGGCTTTGACCTCCCCCCATCTGATTTGGGAATCCTTGTAACCTGCAGACACCTGTAACTGATCCTCATCTTTTTTAAGATTCTCATTATCTCTAAATTTAGTTTGGTTGTAGTCTTCAGATGGCTCCAAATCAATCGCATTTGAAGATGACCCAAGATCCCCTGCCCTTGAGAAAATCAAGTCTTCCTCGTTAGGTCTAGAAGATGAAGAAGCTATATCAACCTGATTGTCAGATAGGGTTCTGATGTTTTCCGATGGCACAGACTTCTTTGAATTGCGAAGAGAAAGTTTTAGGACCAATCTCTTCCTATTTCCAACATTTGCCTGAGATTCAATGTCATTAGGAGGCTTGACTACATTCTCAGACTCATCCAAGGTTGCTTGTTCACCTTTCGAATATTTCTCTACCACATTCTGCAAGTCGTCATTGGGTCCATTAGCCCGAATGTTTGAATTTTGTAGCAATAACTCACTTTCTGAAAAATCTTCTTCTGAGCAATCTTCATCTTCTCCATCTGTAGAACCTTCAGTAATCTGTGAGAAAAAGTTTATGGCATTGCGTGCAGCAACTCGTTGAGGTCTCAATGACTTCACTTTGGAAGACTTCCTCTTTGAAGAATTCAGACCACTTCTTGATTTCTTAGTTCTTCTTGCCCTTGATGTAGTGTGATCATCGTCATCCAAAGTTCTCCTCTTAACGCGCCTTCCCGAGGAAGTCATCGACTCAACCTGAAACAATGCAATTTATTACTTAGACAGTGCAGATAAGAACCAGGGAATGCATTACTGGAGACCAAGTGTCACAACACTTACTTCTGCTCGAGGTTTTTTCCTCTTTGATCTGCGAATGCCATCTTTCTGGCTCTGTTCATTACCACCTTCACTGTGCTCTGGATCACTAGAGGAGCTGTCATTTGAACTTCCCTGCTCATCTTCACTAGAATATTCCTCAGGAACATTGTATTCTGAATCAGTGTCATCATTAATGACATCATTTTCTGGTTCCCAATACATGGCATCTAAAAACTCTGGTAGTGGATCGATCACTATGTCCAAATCTGCCAAGGGTAATATTTGATATTCTTGGCCCAAACCAACATCTGTGCCAATAGCAAATTTTATGGAAGAAGGGCGCCACTCGATACCCAATGCTCCAAGCCGACGCCGCTGGTACATACTCTGATAAGGCTCTGGATACGGAAGCATACCTGGAAATGCCATCAAATGGGGATGATGTGCTCTATCAGAAAATTATTCTAAAGTGGCAAAACTTACAGCTAAATGGACATTAACATACTTGCGTCACAAAGAGGATCCTGAATATTTCTTCGATGTGGAATAAGCTGTGTCTCCTGCATCAGATGCAATACATGTCTGACATTAAAATAGAAAATAAACTAATGGACTATAAGTTCTTGGACCTGAAATCCGTAGACATCATTCGCACTTGACCTTATTGTTTCAAGATCCAAACCACACATTATATGTAAAAGCAATAGATTTGCATGAGACTGATAGCAAGTAAGATGATGTTGATTCTGCTGTGTAATGTAAATATGGACCAGTGGCAGGGGGAAAAAATTTAAAAAATCCTGATGTTACAATGAGTGGTCAACTAACCTGATCAAGAACATTTCCATTAGTGTCCAGGATAAGTGGGCGGTAATCCCCAAGGAAAAACTGTTGAACAGATTAGAAATAAACTACCAGTATATGCAAAACCTAATTGAATATTAATCAATCAACAAAATTTAATTAGAACTTTCTTATACCTGATCATATTTGGCATCACTCTGAGACTCGCCTTGGCCAGTGTTTAGCAGATAAATTTGTCCAGCATCATCTGAAAGTACAATTGATGTCCCATCCCTGCATTACAAAGCAAAAAATGTTGCATTACAAAGCAAAAATGTTGCATTACAATTTACAAGACAGAGCTCCAACTTACCCACAGAGAAAGTAGATATGCAAAATATATTCTAGCCAATATATACGTTTGAAGAGCATGGAAGTTATGAAGATAACATGCATTATCAAAGAATAAAATTTCTATGATGAATAAGTCTGAGAAGGCCTGAAAATTTGAAATCTAGCACAATGCCATTTTGTAAAAATTTGGAGAAGAGAAAGAACAAATAATTCTAAGTATATCAACTGGAGCATGAAAGCAAAGGAATATTTGGGCCACGAAAATATGGGAGAATGAAAGATAAATCATTAAGAACAAACTAACCATGTCTACAAAATTGAAGGTTAAAAAGACCAAGTTGAAAGACATGGGAGAATTTTCAAAACTGAAGTAGCAAAATAAAGTCAGAAGAGATTAGTAAGTAGGTTTCTAAGAATTACTTACGGAGAAAACCTTCCATCAACCAACTTAAAGCGTCCAATCTCATAAATCCGAATGGGTGTGCCTTCCCAAATCTAGAAACCAGTAGGAAAAAAATCAGTTGACGGGCAAGGATCACAGGCATGTACAAGGATCACAGGCAGAATTTTATTGTGACATAAATCAAAGAACAAAAAACTTACATCCCACACTATAGTCTTCCCGTCATACCCAGCACTCATAGCTATTCGGGGGTTAAAGGGATGAACGTCCAAAACATAAGTCTGCCAAGGATAGCAAAGCAGTGAGCCACTGGAACAAAACAAAATAAAATTTAAATCAAACAATGGACAACCGGATGGAAAAGATAGTTTTGATCAAGAAGACAGCACATGTCAAGCACAATAAAGAATACAAAATCCAGGACCTTCAACTAAATTCTGCTGGGAGCAATAAATCTGAAAGCATGTATTAAGATCTGACATGGGTTTGGTTAGAACTTGTACTAGCAAAGGATGATCTTTGTACATCAAATACAATCAATCTTGCAACAAATTGAAACAAATGCTTCCTACTCCCTCCAGCCTATATTGCCACCTTTCCTTTTCAATACTTGAATGAGATACATTAATTGCATATCCCTTTAAATAGTTGGAGTCAAAAAAGGGACTCCAGTTCTGGAGAGAAGGAGTAAGTCATTACACAAGTAGCAATGCTGAAGGCCACAGATCATGTATACCCGAGAATAATTTCAAGAGTTAGCAGTGTATTCCAAAAAGTTTGGTCCTTTTGAAGAAATTTGAAGATTCAATTGCTTGATTTCAAAAACTGTGATGGGCATAATTTTGTGAAAGAGTTCGGCTCCCCCCATGACTTACTCCTTAAATAAGGAAGAACTTATTACACTAACCTGCTAGCCTGTGCTTTAGCACCAGTGTGATAATTTTAAAACGATTGTAAGCAAAACGAGGATTCTAAAAGGATAACCTCAAAACAAAATAACCTCTACACAGCTAAAGTTTCCACAGTCATAATGTGAAACAGATCAGTTCTGGTTACAGATTTCTATCACTGATTATGAAAAGACATCTAAATGTAGTCTATCAACAAGTACATCAAATATCAGGGGTAATTTATGCATTGAATGAATGCAAGAACTAAACACATCCATGTACCATTTTCTGAACTGAAATGCTAGATTATTAAAAAGATGTTAAAATTTTCAAATGCTAAACACGGCTTACGAACATCTTCTCAACATGCTATACGTCACCTTGAGCACATTGCCTAGCACTATGTACTTGCACACATTACTTAATAGGGAACATCAAATTTGTCTGACTGCTAATCATGTCTTGAACGAGTGAAATGCGTCAGCATTTGCCATTGAGAACATTTTTTACTACATGCTCAGTTGCCCTCAAGCATCTTGTTTTGAATTACATATCCACATAAATTGCTAAACATGAATCAATCAAATTAATTTCTCTCAACAATTAATTGTCTCTAGATAGAGTGATATGAATCAGTATTGCCGCTAGACATCCAGAGAAATCAGAAACAAAGCCGAAGCAAACAACAGAGAACCAGTTGATTCCACTCACATCTCTATTGGGCTATGTATTGGCAAAAACGGGAAGACAAAATGCCTTTCTTTTCTGATTGAATACGATCAACATATGAAATTTGTCATCATCCAGCACAAAATCTCTTGTTCTCATCTCACCTAGAATTCTCTGCTAATTAATTACAAATAGAAATTTGCTAAATCCTGGGCAGCCCCTCACCCTCGGTGACTGAAGCGGAGCCTAGAAAAGATCAATAACTAAAAGAGATATCACTTCGATGCATAGACTTACGAAGATTTTTGAAGAAGACTGCTGTCTATCAAACCAACTCCCCGTAGACTCAAAGCTCTTCATAGTCAAGTGAGGAACTATGTTGATATTGGTCCAAAACCACATAACTAAGGTCACCAAACTTAAAGCAAAATGCTACTACCTCTTTGCTAAGCACAGGAACGCTTGATCCAGGAAACCAAGCAAAGAAGCAGCAAGCTCACAATTGACTTCAACTCGAATTAGATGGCGCTTAAAAGAGGAAATCTGAGTATGTTGCTTCCGCATTAACTAGAAAGTGCAGACAAAGAGGTTAGTTCTCTGGAGGGAACAAGAAAGGGTTAGCTCAAGAAATCTTTTCAACACAGAATCAAGGTAATTGAAATGTAGATGAAGCCCAACTAGGTGGAAGAGGGAATGAAGATTTTATCATTGATTTTTGTTTTCAGTAAATTTCGACATAAAACAAATATGGCTTTCAGGTTTTGAAAAGCACTGGGATCTCAATTGCAGAAAAACAAATCGAAGTGATGCCCGATGCTCTCTCATCATTTAAGGAAAATTGGACCTGATATGTCAGAGAACACAAGAAACAGCTAGCCAGCCATGACCAAAAACAATTAGCATAAAGAAAATAAATTCTATGAATATCAATGTAACACTAGAACTAACTTGCCAAAGAATTACTCTATGTGATCTTAAGTAGCAGGCCAACCTAAGAGAGTCAAACAGAAAATAGTATAATTAAAAACTTAACTATACAACATCAAAGCATGATTCAAGAGTTTTAGTGATAATATGGCTAGAAATTTTAAAAACACTTACAGATGCACTGTGACCAGTCAACGAATGTACCAAGCTACCATCACTAGCATTCCAAACGCATATTCTACAATCTGCAATTAAAAATAGAATAAAAGAAAAAAATCATTTTGTAATTTTATGAGAGAAAGCACAAAAGGTTATGTAACTGCTTGACTTAATAAGTACATGATATGCAGTAGCATCTCACAGAGTAAAAAGACTAGCAGAGGAATGTGCTACGTATACCAACAAGATAAGGGAGAACAATCAAAAAGTTTTTTTTCTACTAATCCAATGTAAGCAGCTATGACTAAAAAATACATAGATTTGGCTTAAATAGGACTTGATAATACCAAGCAACCAAAAAATTTAAAGTTTAAAACTAGTTAACCACTTGTTGGTAAAATTTGGAAGCTCTTAAGAAGAAAAGAGCTTGGAAAAAAATGGAACAAAAAAGTAGTATATGATGTGAAAAACAAACTCCACCAAAAGTACGCAAACAAGAGTTTTAGGATACAGATCTACAAAGATCAAAAAAGGATTTGACGATTAACATATTTAGAATATAAAAAATGTGTCATCTTACCCTCATCTGTAATCAAATATTTCCCTAATCATTAAGGTACATCAAATAAATCACTCCTAGTGACAGACAACATACTTCCCAAAAAAAAAGAAAAGTAAAGCTAGATGCTAATGTCAAGTATTCAATTTCAAGGGAATGTTTCTTTTGACTGCATAAATCATATAATTATATTAACTTGAAGATCCAACTTCAATTCGTGTAAAACTCAAATCTCCTAATCATTCTAACATGTTTCCCTAGAGACTGTTTGAAAGGGAACCGTAGGATGTTCAATCCCCATACATGTCCAGACGCATGTACATAGTTGGACATGAACTAGAATGTCCTGTAATGTCCATTCCAGAGCACAGAATATCCAAGTTCTCTTCCACAGTTTCCTGCTTCACTCAACACCCAAACCCAACTTCAACAAAGTACAACCGCAAGGTGCATCAACAGATGAAAATGCACAGGAAGTCCAGTAAAAAAGATAAGAAAGGGGGAAGAAACCATCTATGGGCAAGCAGTGAGGACTGTAGTTGGCTGGCTTAGAGTTTCGAAGAGAAAATAAGAAAACAAATAATTTCTGAGTAAATAGGCACACGTGGCTTAAGAAATGGCATGCCACTAATTGCTTATCGCTTCATAATTCTCTGGAGGGGATGATAACCATAATTCCACTTTTCTCTGACTGTGTTTCAGTTAAAATGGCATCGAGATCACAGCTTAAAGCAATGGAATTGAATTTTTAATCATGTCAACGGCTAGGTGTATAACAATTCTACCCCTCCCATCAATGGACAAATACATGGGTGGACTAACACTAAGTATTGGTGTAAGGAGGCCATATAAACATCCAAACACTTATTGATAACTGCTCTTCAATAAATAAATATGCACACATATTGTGAATTACCCATGATGGCAGCAAGAACAAAGCGATTATCCAGGCTCCACGCAATCATGTTAACACCCCGAGGAGTTGGAAGAAGTCTCTGACGTGGACCTCCTCGTGGAGGCTGAGGCGGCATTGGAGGAGGAGGAACTTTGAGATGATAAGACCGGGTCCAGCGTCCAACCTTTCCCTGGAAAGTTTGAAAGATTATAACAGAAAAGAAACCAAAGTTAGGATGCTAAATGTCATATATGTATTATATTCAATTTAAGCAAAGTGAACCATATTGCAAGGACACAGAATAACATCATGAAACAAATATTTTAGCAGAAAGCAGAATATGTCTACACCAAATTTAGAAGGGATAAATGTTAGTTTTACACTTCCCCAGAAAACCGCACATGAGAACGGCGCGATCTTGGAATCCAAATAATTGCACTGCCATCACGGGAACAGGTAACAATATTGTCATGACTGAACCTGGGAACAAAAAGGCAAACAACAGGAGTGAAATACAAATAAGCAAAATTGAATAGTAAAAATTTCTTGTACTATTAATCCAACTATGCAAATCAGTCAAAAAGGCAATCATATACCAGGAATTCTTGAATTTCGGAAAGTTCTCCTCTGTAAACGAATCAGGCATTGAAGATCTTGAAGCCACAGAACAGCCACTGCATGAAGAAGCAGCAGATGATACACAAAAAAATTTATTAGGTAATAAGCTGAAGCATGCATTATTACTGACTAACCTGAACTGCACATAATTGACATCATTCTCATGCCCGGCCAATACATCAATCTCATGATTTGGTCGCTCTGAGTCATCCGTACTGGATTTACAAGCACTCCAAACCTGCAAGCAGTTAACTCTTTGAAAATTAATCCAACTAGACCTATAGCAATATTTCCAGGGACACCAGAACAATGGAAAAGAGCAGACCAAGAATCACAAATATTTTTTAAGGAGGAATGTGTCATATTGCTCGGACACTCCTCAAAACATTTCCAACACATCTCAGACATGTCCCTAGTTCAAAAACAGTTTTCATTTCAAACACATGGCTGACACTTCTTGTGTGAGCAATAAACATTCACTAGTGAGATACTTTTGACAAGTACAGGAATAATTTCTTTAAAAGAGCATCAATAGGGGTGGAAACGTGTACTAATAACTTATAGGAAGTTTGACAACAAACTATCACAAGTGATAGCAAGGAGAAGTGTTACCAAAGGACAAGGCAAGAGGAGAGAAGTCAGTATACATGTACATAAAGTCATATCTATATATACAACGAAATGAAGCATTAAATACGAAGTTCATGTTACGACCATCAACTTGGATTTACGTAGATAATGTTTAGTACGCAGAGAATGTGCTATTATACTACGATAGCTTGTAGTTTAACAAAAAATATCACCAAGCACAGTGGAGGACGTATAAGCAATATTTTTATATTTTTTTTTTTTATGTATATATGAATATGTACATGACATTGGTTTTGTGGCACGTCTAGTTGGGATGTCCATGACTCCATGTCATGTCATTTAACATATGTATCCTGCATTTCTGTCCAGGCTACATTCCTAATAATAAGATTTAGTACACAGTCAATAGTATTTATTTGTACCCTTGCAAAAGTATCGGAGCTCCCAGTGACAAAGACAGTTCCATTAGCATTGTAGGCACAACATAATATTTGATGCCCCTGTGGACCATTACTTGAGGAGGGAATACTACTTGAGGATCCATAGGTCTTTCCTGCATTGATTTCAATTCCATAAGTCAGTCTGGAAACCAACAGCCAGTTAAAACGCAAACAGACAATTCAAAAAGCAATATTCTAACCAGCAACAGTATCTGTTGGCTTTGGCAGGTAAATGCGTGGGCTACATTGGATTTGCCTAGCATCCCAGATCCGACAAGTCCCATCATCAGATGACCTACAGATGTTTAACCAAATGAGAAAATAGAACAAGAAGTGAGCCTTAGCTGATATCTACGCTTAAGGTGTGATGGAATAGTTGTCAACAACAATTAAAGTAGAAGTAGAAAGCTTGCAGATCAAGTTTATAGGAATTGCCTAAGAGCAGCATGTTCATGAAGTAACAAAAGATATGCTCTTCCTGTTCCAGAAATTCTCTCTCTCTAGCTGTGCACTCACATGTTCAATTGATAGATATTTTGTTCTGTTTCAAATGTTATTTGAGCCTTTGTCATAAAACTATGTTCTTCAGTTTGCAGGTGTTTCTGTTTAAAGAATTCTGGAAGTCTTCCAGTTGTGTCCATTTGTCTAGAATGCTATACAAATTGTAATTGTGTAAAGCAATGTTACCTGGATCGTTGGTCACTTTGGTACGTGATACGAATATGGATACATGGTAAAACACTTTCTTAGATACACAGTACGATGGGATAAGTTTAGCTGGAACGGTAATTTGGGTCACAATTCATTTTGAAACTCTTATGTAGATCATTTTCACTACTATACAATACAACATTATATATTACAGAACATTCATACACACTAAGTTAGTTACCATTTATGTTATAGTTGTACTTAATTTTCTATTATCTAAAATAATATATAATCATAAATCTATATACATGGAGTCAATCAATATGTATTTTATATTTGTGCTACATGTTCTAAAGCGAATTGATTTAGAATTAGTATTACAATTTGGGGTCGTCCATTTTGGTGATGTGGATCACAAACTCATCTCGTTTGGGATCGATGTACCCAAATCGTGAGTCATTAAGGGTTTAGTGAATGTGGTAACCATGATTTCATACTTGTCAAAAGTCGCACAGTGAATGCATTATTATCAAAGAAAACTGCATAACCATGTAACAGCTTTTTATACAAAAAAAAAAAAAAAAGGATAGTGAAACCTGAATTTTTAATAGAGAGCAGCTGCTCTAGAGAATCCTTTTCGTTGGGTTTTTCCCTATTATCCCCCCTCCCCCCCAGGAAAAAAACCATTTGGGCCTTTGCATGTTTAGACGATAATGCTTCCTATGTTCCTGATAGACCAAATTATATGTACATGCTCTGACAAAGAGAGACAATGGTACACAAATCGGTCCAAACGCAAAGGACGAAGATCAAATCAAAGTTAACCCTGGAGATAAAATTAAGATAGTAATGAGGGGTCATCCCTCTCACAAACCTAAAATCCCAATTATATCCAATGAGTTCTCTCACCGTATAAACTGTAACTATGACAACCTATAGAATGGGATCCATTACAGAAGAAAACCCATCAAAATAATGAACCACAGAAGGATCAAATACACTAACAATGGTCTCTTCAGCGTCAGGCGCTCCATCTCCCAGAAAAGCCCCTTAGACTTGGACTCTGACTTCAAGACATAACCATAACAGATACAGTTTGATCCCAATGTAGTTAGTTCACACATAAAGGGAAAATAAAAAGAATTTCTCATGAGTTTAATATGTCTCACATCAATGCAAAAGTGAGAATGAGAATGACTTAATCGAATCCATATTATACAATAATGATTTGTACATATTTTCTAGGAAAATCCATCAGTTTCCTATGCTGGTCTTAAATATGGTAAAAACATGTTTCCCATCATAAGGACTATAAGAATTGTAGAGACCTCAACAGATAATTCAGAAATTGATCTAACTTCCCCATTAGGTTTACTAAATATTCCTGAAGTGAATAGAATTAAGAGTAGGCATTCAGATTTTCATCAAAAGTTCCTCCAACATTATAAGGGCAATTTCTATAATTTAAAAATATGAGAATCATAGTGCTTAATTATGTATTAAGATTTTCCAATTATGATTGGGAGACCGAAAAGGAACAGCTACTTGGATTAATAAGTTTAGCAATGAAGCATACGATAAAAGCTGGTACATAGAGCTGGGCCTGGGACTGAATGCAATGGCAGTAACAGCTGCTGTATGTCCGCGCAAAATTGAAATTGGACATCCATCAGGCAAGCGCCACTGTAATAGACAAAAGGTCTACTTAGCCTTGAAGGACTAAAAAATGGAAAGATAAATGTATTACACAGAAAAACTCCTTACTACTCGAATTGTGTAGTCATTTGAAGCAGATGCCACCAAAGCATTGTTTGAACTAATGGCCAAGTCAGTGATGTCACCCTGAATAATAAGGAAGGTAAACAAGTACAATAAGTAACAAAACAGAGTCTTACATAAACCAGTTGAATGCCCTACATTATATTGATGTTCTTCACTTACTTCATGTCCACGGCAGCTGGCTAGGCAAAATGCGGTTTCCATTGACCAAATCTTGACCAGACGATCATCCGATCCAGTAATCACATATCTTCCAGAGCGATCAAATATTGCTATAAGATACAAGCAAAGGTATAATGAACAAATTCGGAGTTTCTCATTTCAGTTTAAAACCATCAGGATATGTGAATGGGATTTCCAAAAAGCCCCTATATTCATTTAAAGTTCATGGGTTGAGAAATCATACCACAATAGACAGCATCCCGGTGTCCCCTTAGCCTCTTTATATTTTGCATCTTTTGCACCATAGTTGATGGCTTAGCAACGGCATAACATGCGAAGCGAATAGATGGAGCACGATGGTGTTTCGCAAAACCACCTCCAATTTCCCTAAAACTTAGGCCACGCACCTGATCTGCCTGCATGTGAGGCCAACGAAGGTAAGATGGCAGATGCTTGACTTCCTTTTTTTCCTTTTTTCTATTCCCTGCATAATATCAATATTTAGATATAAATACAAAAATGGTGGTGGTGGTGGTGGGATGGGGATGGGGGAAGAGACACACGCATAATGCCAGCAAAAATGTTATATATTCTCCAAATGCAAAGTGATTCGGACAGCCCTCAAATGATGGCCCAACTCCAATCTTCGCAACGGAATGAGGAAGCAGACAACTGGTAACAGTAAATTGGTATTCTTGGAAATAAAGAAAATCAAACACAACACATTACAGAAAGGAGACTAGCTAAGAGGAACACAACCTATCCTGGACCCACACCTTTCCATGTGATATCCACGACTCACACTATGGATTTCCTTAGGTAACTGAAATCACCTAGAATGACTAATCCCCCTAATCACAAATCACTGATCAGCGAACTGAGAGTGGATCCACGGGCAGTTCACAAATTGTTGGGTGTGAATGTCATTGCAACAATGAACGTATTAGTTATTAGTACCCACTCTAGGTTAAAGTAAGTTACAACTTAGTTGAAACTCAGAACCAGATTTCAAAAGAGCATATACTGCATCAGTGTGCTCTTATACAATGCCCAGAGTTGCTGACTAGACAACTAGACTTCTCCCCTTTTTTTGTTTTTCTTTTTTTGTTGTGGGGGAGGGGGGGTGTCCATCAAATACACTACCTCCAGGTAAACATTTGGACATTTTTAGAACTTGATATATCCATCATCATCGGAAGCTTAGGGTTTCAATTGTCATTTTATGCTCCCAAGAAGAAGTTGTTTTCATTATTTTTTTTTTTTTGGCTCGTGTTTGGGATGGGGGGCAGGAAAGAGGGAAACTAAAGTTAAACAGCTTAAAAATAACGTACACTCCAGAAGTGAAAAGGAACCAGTTCCAAGCAGCGTAGGAACATCAGATGCACTAGGAGCATTCCTTCCACCCATGCATCGCAACGGAGGCGCCACGCTCAGTATCAGCTGTTTAAGCAGCTTTACCAAATGATTCTTATCAATGTGAGAATACCTGAGAGTAAGATACTGGTGAATAACAGAGATATACACCCAAGTAAAATATAACTAAATAATGAGGAACACTGAACCATACTTGGGAAACTAAGAAACTTCTTGCACTCTGAAATGGAATAAACCTATTATTAACAATGTTTGAAATTGATTCAAAGTCACTTCTCCACTATAAACCTACTATTACCAATCTATCGCATTCAGCAATTGAATGCCTAATCACTTTTGGTTTCATATGGTCAAAATAGTTAAACAGTACCAATAGTTCAAGTGAAGATAGTTTTTAATCAGCAACAACGAAATCTGAACTAAGATAGTCAATGAGCTCTAATTTAATCAAGCAGGTCAATATCCTTTTGTGACACTGCTACAAGAACTCATTGTCATTTTCTAAGACCTCACAGAGGAACTTGTATTGTGCCTCTGTTAGATGGTATCGGGTTTCATGTCCACATGGTTTCAATAATGCGTTTTTCATGCTAGCTGGACATTCAATATGCATCGAATTTCTTAAAATTTTTAGACTTTCTGCTACTTTGAAAAATACTAAATTTTGATTTCTTTAACTACTATCTGACTAAGTATTCAAGAACTTCAGCCAATTTTTCATCATACTATGGAAAAAAAATATTTAAAGAAAAAACTGCTTCATTTGAATCCCAAATCTTTTTTTCCCCCAAACATGCAAGGTATCCGGGTACTAAATCCATATACAGAGTACTGTAAACCAAAAAAGTCAGATATAATCTTATATAGGTCGATGTAACGAGATAGCAGCCATATGAACTTAAAACAAACATCAGAAGATCAAATTCCATGTTTGGTTCCAAAATTTCAACGTAAACATATATAATAAAGCAAGAAATATATTGGAATTGTATTAAATACCTTTCAACCAAATTATCATGATCTAAAGGGAAAGAGANTTAAACAGCTTAAAAATAACGTACACTCCAGAAGTGAAAAGGAACCAGTTCCAAGCAGCGTAGGAACATCAGATGCACTAGGAGCATTCCTTCCACCCATGCATCGCAACGGAGGCGCCACGCTCAGTATCAGCTGTTTAAGCAGCTTTACCAAATGATTCTTATCAATGTGAGAATACCTGAGAGTAAGATACTGGTGAATAACAGAGATATACACCCAAGTAAAATATAACTAAATAATGAGGAACACTGAACCATACTTGGGAAACTAAGAAACTTCTTGCACTCTGAAATGGAATAAACCTATTATTAACAATGTTTGAAATTGATTCAAAGTCACTTCTCCACTATAAACCTACTATTACCAATCTATCGCATTCAGCAATTGAATGCCTAATCACTTTTGGTTTCATATGGTCAAAATAGTTAAACAGTACCAATAGTTCAAGTGAAGATAGTTTTTAATCAGCAACAACGAAATCTGAACTAAGATAGTCAATGAGCTCTAATTTAATCAAGCAGGTCAATATCCTTTTGTGACACTGCTACAAGAACTCATTGTCATTTTCTAAGACCTCACAGAGGAACTTGTATTGTGCCTCTGTTAGATGGTATCGGGTTTCATGTCCACATGGTTTCAATAATGCGTTTTTCATGCTAGCTGGACATTCAATATGCATCGAATTTCTTAAAATTTTTAGACTTTCTGCTACTTTGAAAAATACTAAATTTTGATTTCTTTAACTACTATCTGACTAAGTATTCAAGAACTTCAGCCAATTTTTCATCATACTATGGAAAAAAAATATTTAAAGAAAAAACTGCTTCATTTGAATCCCAAATCTTTTTTTCCCCCAAACATGCAAGGTATCCGGGTACTAAATCCATATACAGAGTACTGTAAACCAAAAAAGTCAGATATAATCTTATATAGGTCGATGTAACGAGATAGCAGCCATATGAACTTAAAACAAACATCAGAAGATCAAATTCCATGTTTGGTTCCAAAATTTCAACGTAAACATATATAATAAAGCAAGAAATATATTGGAATTGTATTAAATACCTTTCAACCAAATTATCATGATCTAAAGGGAAAGAGATTCCATCATCATTTTCATCCCCACTAAGTACACCACCCCTTGAATACCATGCGTGATATCTCCTAGGCAGAAGCTGATGTTCCAGAAGTTCATTCCACAAGAGTCCAAAAGTTCTCTGGCATGGGCCAGCTGATAAAAAATGCATAATGAGAAAATACACTTCTCTGAGGTCAACATCCACATCCTCCATGACTGTATAGTTGGCCGCTCTCTCCTGTTCTTCAAACTGAGCCTTTAAGTGCACCTTATTCAAAAAATTCAATGGTGCCATACTTACAGGTGGTGCATCACCAAAAGATACACACTTCCGAAAATCCATACTTAGTGTACAACCTGAAACAGCATAACAGACATCCTTTCAGAAGACTCTTTTTAAAAGCACAAGGATGCAACTAATTTATATATGCATTACACATCTAACCAAGTCCGAATGATACAAGGAAAAAGGATAGCGGCGACCAACATACAGCCCACCGACTACCAATACAAACTACAAATCTGATTTAGTAAATAAAATATTCAATGATCATATAGTAAAAAAGAAAAATGTAAAACTTTTTCATGATACTGAATGGTTAACCATCATACGAAGATAACTTCTCCAGATCTGACACACACGAAGTTACTCCTCAGATCAAGGTTGAACACCGTTGCTTAAGCAAATGGCATGAAAAATGTGAGTGCCACCAGAACTTCCATGGAATTTACAAACACATCATGTGTCCTCAAACTGCTAGTCCTCTATGTACACAACACCACAAAAGAATAGTCAGAAAACTAGAAAATAAATTGTTCCCAATAATAATAAAAACTTAATAACTATATTTTATAGGGGCCTTGTGGCAAACGCCAAAACCACTCCCGCTAGATGGCTGCCCCTTTCTCTCTTTTTCGAGCCTCATGAACAGACGAAAGAAGGGAAGTTACAGAATGGGGCAGCGAAAGCACTCACAAAGTATCTGCTCGAAATCTTACTGTAAGTGAGGGAGAAAAAAATGCCAGACTTCAACATGAAAAAAGGTATTGGATGAAATGATTACAAAATTATAAACACATGAACATGGAAGGTCTAGGAATTTTAAGTGATTGGCTAACAATTACAATGTCAAATACTTGACGAAATAAATTATGAATTTCATGTTAGATACAAACATAGATAATCACAGTTTTATGTATATTTATACAAATGCAAATATTTTCTCCTTTGCACATCTACATTGAAAGCAGAAAATGAGATAAACTACAAAGAAAATAAAATTGAATGTATTGTCCAAAATCTGCCTACTGCGTACTAGAATTTTCAACTTGGGTTCCGAACAACATGACTCGTGTTTGATATCATTTTCGACACTAACCAGAAATTGCTAGTCATCAATTAAGTTAAATAAGATTTTGCCATGCACTCTTTCGTAATGTTGCAATGCATATAAATCAACATTCATTTAGCCAACTCTCTTAGTTGATGGGCAATAAGTTCATATGAAACAATAACGACCAATTATAGAAGATAATCCAAAAGGATTTATTAGTATAACTGTATAAGCATTATAAGAAAAACTACAGAGAATGCTTTTGGGACTTAGTTTTCATTGAATACTAAAGCTTTACGGAACCCTCTAATTTATAGAGGGGGAGTGCAACATATTTACAAATCCTCTGGATATAAACTTTCAAATTCAAAAATCTGTTTGAAAAGGAATTCAAAATATACAGCTTGTAGCAGATAATTCTCAGGATCATATCTCCCCAAAATCTTCCTCATTTTGTGCTGCAGACTTTGTCTCTTGAACAAGTCTTTCTACACGCCTTCGCAATCGACTAGGGAGATCTCGAACATGGAGATTGTCCTTAAGGAGCTGAAACCGGGCTGGACAGAAAGCCTTTGTCAAGAGGTCTGCAAGCTGGTCTTTGGAAGATACAAAACACCCCTGCAGCTTTCGTGCTATGACCTGATCCCAAACATAATGAAAATCGATTTCAATATGTTTGGTTCTTGTGTGGAATATAGGATTAGATGAAAGATATGTCGCTCCAATGTTGTCACACCAAAGCTTTGGAATTTGTAGGAGAGGTGCACCAAGAACAGAGAGGTTATTCATTGAAGCTTCGGTATTGGACATACTTTTGTCCTTAACTTCAGTACTGCTTCGAGCAGCAGTCTGTTGTTGCTTGCAACTCCAAGAGACTAAATTGTGGCCAGGAAAAACCAGATAGGCTCCTACAGAGCGTCTATCATCGCGGTCTCCAACCGAGTCAGCATCCGACAAGGCTTGAATCACAAGTGAGAAGAATGAGAATTGATGAATAGACCTTGAGAGACAATGTGCTTTAAATACCTTAGATTTCTTTTGACTGCTTGCCAGTGTGGAATCCATGGTCGGCGTATAAATTTACTTAGTTTGTGAAGTGAGTAAGTTATGTCTGTCCGTGTGAAGGCAAGATACTGTAATCCACCAACTATACAGCAATATAAGGAAAGATCTTCGAATGGGGCACCATCAAAGGCAGACAATTGACATGACATGGACATTAGTTGGGGCGATTGCTTGGCTTTGTCCATATCAGTCCGTTGGAATAGATCCACAATATATTTGCGTTGAGTTAGAAATAGTCCCGCATCTGTTTTCAAGGCTTTAATTCCTAGGAAAAAGCTAAGTTCACCGAGATCTTTAACTAGAAAGTCTCAATTGAGCTGTTGAATAATTTAATTGATTGCCTTGTGATTTGAACCTGCAACAATGATATCGTCTTTGTAAATCAAGAAGTAGACTGTGAGTGTATTTTTGCGAAGGACATAGAGCGAGCTGTCTGCCTTGAAACCAAGGTGTTGCAACGTATCTGTGAGCCTAGAGAACCATGCTCTTGGTTCTTGTCGGAGACCGCAAATACTCTTGTGTAACCAGGAGATGTGATTAGGATAATCTAGATGATTGAAACCAAGTGACTGACACATGTATACCTCTTCATACAGTACTCCATGAAGAAATGTGTTCCGGATGTCCAATTGGTGTAAAATCCAGCCCCGAGATAAAGCAATAGGTAGAACTAACTTGATGGTAGCCGGTTTGATAACCGGACTAAAAATTTCATGGAAATCAATTCCCTGTTGCAGGTGGTAGCCTTTTGGTACCAATCTAGCTTTAAATCTATCCACCAGTCCATCTGCTTTACGTTAGATCCACTTGCATCCTACCAGATTAATGTTTTGATAGTTTGGTACAAGTGTCCACGTACCATTTTTTAGCAAAGCATCAAATTCAATGCTCATTGCATTCCTCCAGTTGGCTGATTTGGCTACTTCATTGTATGATGTTAGTTCTGTATGTGGCTCATTGGAGACTACAGGTAAAACTTTAAGTAAGGGATACCTGATTGTTCCATCATGTGGGACTCTAGGTTTGAGAGAGATGGTCTATGATCTGGTGACCATCATCTTTCACATGGAATCAGTAATTGAATGGTTGGTCGTGTGGAGGTGTGAGCTACCACAATAGAAGACTCAACTTCCAATTCGGGATCTCTTGCAAGAGTGTGCACGACATGCTCACAGTGGTCGTTATGATGAGTAATTGAATCAAGTGTAGGAGTGCAAGAGCCATTGGTACATGCAGGAGTTAGAATAGGAGCAAGACTTGAAGACTTTTGAAGAAGAGATGGGGGAAGAGTTTCTTTCATCATAAACCATCTTCCGATTGCTACATTAGTTCTTTCCAAGTTTTTAATTGAAAATCATTTGTCTGTGGTAGTTTGAATATGAATGCAAATTGTTGGGATTTAACACGCTTTAAACCCACAGACAAACACACACAATCGAAAAACATAAAGCAATAAAAAATAAGAAAGAATAAGACACAAATATTTTACTTGGTTCGGCAATTTGTCTACGTCTACGAAACTGCAGGGATTTCACTATTGAGAGAGCATAATACAGAGAGCGGCTTCCTGTTACAATCCAACCCTAAACACCAAAGTAGCGATTTTTATATGTCCTGCGTACCGGAGAATGATTCTCAGGATCATATCCCCTCAAAATCTTCCTCATTTTGTGCTGCAGACTTGGTCTCTAGAGCAAGTCTTTCTACAAGCATTAACCATTCTTCTGTAACTTTTGGCCATATACCATTAGAATTAAATAATCAGGGTTTCCTTACATATTGTGTTCTACCCTATCAAGGGAAAGTCTCGTCTTTGGAGTTTTTGTAGTCTTTGTTATAACATCATCAACAGCTGATAGGTGGCCACATAAAAAGATGAGACCCCACAAGGTTACCCGCCAAACGCTAAATTACCCCTAATTATGTATAAAAATGAGTGCAAATAAAAGACTTTCACTCCTACGTACATTCACAAGTAAGTGTCATGTCATCAAAATTTTACAACTATGGAAGCAATGCAACCATCAAATCCTATTGGTACTTGCCCTAATAAGCAGGAAAAAATGCCAAAGAAAGACGGGCAAAAAAGAAGAAAAGGAAATAATCTGCTTCAACTACGTTATACAAATGCAGAGTTAGTCGAACGTGCACACTACACACACACAAAGGATAGCTGAAGTGCAAAAAAAGATCAAAATATTGCTCACAGACTGCACAAACAACCGACTCGAGATCCAATCAAAGACTCAAACAACAGCACTAAATATCTGTTTGTTAGCTAAGAAACCCAACAAACTAAAGAAAAGAAAAGAAAAGAAAAATCTAGATCTTATGTGCAATGTTACTAAGAAATTGCTAATATTCTTCTTAACCATGCCAAACACATATATGAGGGCAGTCAGAAGGAGGCTTCTATTTTCAGAAACCAAAGATAGCAAAAATAAATACAAAATCGAACGTTTCAGCTTCTTCTTCTTCTGCTTCTTCTTCTTCTTCTTCTTCTTCTTCTCTCTCTCTCTCTCTCTCTCTCTCTTCCTACATTTTTCAGGACCAAAAAGAAGCAAAAAAACAAGTCGTAGAGACATGAAAGTAAAATCTTTTGCAATAAAGATTCGATTGTCTTACCTTAAGACTCGAGAGTAGGGTAGGATCACATAGGGCAAGCTTCCATAAACAGATTGATTTCTTCGTACCGATTGATATGATACCTCCGGAAACACCAAGGGATTCAGGTGAATTGGACGTTGAATTCGGAGGAAAAGACTCTGCTTTGTTTTACATCTCCTTCCTGTTGTGGGTTTTTCGTGGGAGAGAACGGAGAGAAGAAAACGGGAGAGAGAGAGGGCTTTTTCAAGAGAAATATTTAGGACCAAATTTTAATAAAGATAAGTTTTTCATATTATAGTTATGTGGGTGCTCCGGGTTTTTGATGGATGGGGCTTTCCATCAGTATTAAAAGACAAAATACCCCCTGTTTTGGTTTTCGCTGCCATAGAGTGAATGGGTATATATCCGCGCTATGGAGGGTTAAGCTGTCTTTTCGTCGTCTTGACATGTCCTGTCTGAGACTTTGGATATTTTCTTTTCTTAATTGTAACTTCTCTCAAGATTTGGCATATCTCGTAAACTTTTCTTTCAATGGGAAAATAAATTTAGAGTCGGAGTGTGTGTGATGTAACACACAACAAATTAGCTTTAAAATAATAATTTTTTTTAGAATAATATCAGGGAGAGATATCTAAATTAATTTAAACTCACCTCAATTAATTCTTTTTTCTTATTTGATTAAAGAAAAATTATCTATGGTCTGACCTCGTTTTTAATCTATTGTTTTTGTAGTAAATAAATAATTAGATACAAGTCAAAATAACTTTAATATATTAGGCAATGTGCATCTCTCTTATTAAAAACAAACTCTAGGTTTTTCATTTATTAGAGAAAAATAATCAAAAACATAAATGCATTCAAGATTAGCCAAAGTCTCATATATTAGAAAACGGTTGACTTGTTATTACTTTGTACGCGTTGTTTTATATCACTTCCATTAATGCTATAACAATAAGGAAACCTGACATCGTCTTAACAATAAATAAGCTAATCATCCGTATTAAGATGATCAATTAAAACAACAAATATTTGATAAAATTTTAGAACCACTCTTTTTAATTTATCATTATTTTTATTTTTTGAATATTCACTGACACCTCTATTAGATTATAAATGTTAACTAAAATGTAATTTTATTAAATTGTCCATGATATATTAGAGAAAAAAATTTATCCACACTCTCTCTAGATAAGCATATCTTCAATGAGATTCCCCTCTATATTTTT